AGCATATACAAGGAAGCAAAATCTTATTTATTATATAAGCCTTTGTTAGAACAGTAGAAAGGGCTTTATGGAAATTTGACTCTTCATCCTGGGATAGTAGACTGTGGCAAAGGGGAGGGGGTGCTCCCTAAACTTTCCACTAACAGAGGTTGAATGGGCTAGCTCTCAGGAACTCAGGAGCTAGACATCCAATGGAAGGGAGATTCTTTAAATCTTTTCCTTTTTTCTTTGCATTTGTATTTTTTCCTCCTCAAAGTCACTTATTCGGAGAATACTGGGGTAGACTATCTAGGAGCGAGCTATTTCAACACATGAGACACTCCCTTGGTCTTTAGCTTTTGTGGAATTCAAGCACTTGCTTGGTTTTGTCGTAGAGATTTGAGAAAAGTCCTCTGGCTGCTTCCTTCTAGCCGTAAACCACAGTGCTGATTGGCCTCACCGTCTTTTTGTTACTCTCTTACATACTTTCAGAAAAACTTCTCCTCTAGCTCTGCAGCTTGAATAAGTTATACTTTCAAATATGATTAGTGTTGGGCTCCATAGTGGTGCTCCCGAAGTCCATTTTTAGGGTTTTAAGCTTCTTTTTTAAACCTGATTGAGCATAATGCCTGTAGGCTCTGTATCTCCTCAGTAGGTGGGATTGAACCCTGATGAAGTAGAGAAGTTACAGTTGGTATCTCCTGGGACATCTTGGAGCAATGCCTTACGTGTTAGTCAAGGGAAGGGTGTCATCTTCTGTGGGTGAGACCAGTTCTTGTGTTTGTCACAGAGAACAATTCTTTGGGCTCTAAGATGTGGCTTTGCTTCTTCATAAACTGTCTTTTTATTATCGGCCTCTAAAGAGTTGGTAAATATAATTGGTTTCTCTTTAAAAGCTTCTTTGGAGTAATTTTATACATCCCATGAAATGGAAATGATGGAGATAATTTCCTTTCCTCATTCCTTTATGTCACTCACTGCTATGTCTCTGCTGGTGATTCACCTTCAGTGCACCCAGGATACTGTTCATGATCATCTGTAGCTGAGCTCAGTTCTTGCATTCACTGACCATGTGCACCCTTCACTCCACCTTCTCACTTTACAGCTGACCCCACATCTCCGAATCTCCAAACTCCAGCTTCCCATTAGTAAAGACAACATGTTAGAGTCTACCTGGTTCCCCTAAGGGAACAAGCAGTGTTTTTTTTTTAAGATTTTATTTATTTATTTGACAGAGAGAGACACAGCGAGAGAGGGAACACAAGCAGGGCGAGTGGGAGAGGGAGAAGCAGACTCCCCGCCGAGCAGGGAGCCCAATGTGGGGCTCGATCCCAGGACCCTGGGATCATGACCTGAGCCGAAGGCAGTCGCCCAACCAACTGAGCCACCCAGGCACCCCAAGCAGTGTTTCTTTTGCTCTCATTTTTCCTAGCTGTGGACCACTAGTAATTGCAAGGTGATTTACCATTCACCATTAGTAAAATTTTTACTAGGGATTTAATAATTAACAAGCTATTTCCTGTTTTTCACACATAAGTGCGAAAACTACCTTTGTCCTTCTGATGACACCTGTGCTTGCATACCATGAGGACCGGAAACTCTTGAGCTTTCGATACAATTTATTCATTGACTTTTCATATTTGGCCTTTGGGGATTTCTTGAAGCTCAGCTGACTAAAAGACCAAGGCTGGATGGACTAAAATAGGGGTCAGCATTGGAAGGCATTTTCTTTGGAAAGTTTTGATAGAAACATACCGTTTGCTGACAGTCTTCATCTATCAGTATTAACATTTCTGTGTCAACGTCTAGGAAATATGTGAATCTGATGGAATTTCCTGATTTGATTTTATTTTTTTAAAGATTTTATTTATTTATTTGACAGAGAGACACAGCGAGAGAGGGAACACAAGAAGGAGGAGTGGGAGAGGGAGAAGCAGGCCTCCCGCAGAGCAGGGAGCCTGATGCGGGACTCGATCCCAGGACCCTGGGATCATGACCTGAGCTGAAGGCAGTCGCTTAACCGACTGAGCCACCCAGGCGCCCCTAAGGAGAAAGATCATTTTTCCTGAAGGCATTAAGAGAGGCTAACTGCTACATGTGAGAGCTGCTATCATGTGGTGTGGTTTTTTTAAAAATTAATTTAGTTTTTAAATTGAGTGTTATATTTTATGCTAAGTTCAAATATGTTCCTTCTTAATTACCCCATTTGGCCCTATGGTAGATTCCAAAGGGTTGTTTTCAAAAGGCTGCCTTTAAAATGCCAAGATGCCTTTGCTTAGAGACATGCATTGGTAAACTTCAAAGAGTAGGGGCAAAAGCAAAATCAATGGTTATGTTTGTTCTTTCTGGGAGGCAGAATGTTTCTAATCGGTCACTTGGTGAGGTTTTCTAAAATCATGTATCAAGCTGTGGTTTAATAGAGTTGGAAAGGATAATAAGCTGGAGTCACAGAAAGCTATTTATATTGGCTGAGTTCTATGAAAATGAGAGCATTAGAGGTTAGTGTTTACAGGGAGAAAGAACACCTGTGTTGCACCAGGTGATTACCGAAGGGAAATAAGAAAAATGGGGGGAAACCCTACCTTCCAACAACTCTAATTGGCTAGCACAAATTACTGAATTGGTGAACTCGTTCCACAAATCTTAACATTGGCTCCGCTCTTCCTGTACAGATGCTTTGCCAAAGGTGTATCACACCAGTGAAATTTCTGGAAAAGGAAAACAATGATTTGGGAATTATGTATGTAGACTATGGGACTAGAAAGACTCTGCCATTAACTGTGTGACTTTGGACAAATTAGTTATCTTTCTTTGCCTTGGATTCCTTGTCTGTACTTGGAGAATATAGGTGGAGATAATGCTCCTAATGAAATAATGGATGAAAAGTTATGATTTTTATGTATGTAAATAAATGGTATGTCCTTAGCAAGGAAGGGAAATATAAGAGGTAAAATAAGAGAAAAGTCATTTTAGAAGAAAAACTTGCTTGACATTTTTTTAAGTTGGGCACAAATCAGTGAATACCTTATATCTGATTTCATCAGTAAAATATTGGCTGAGGATAAATCTACCCTAAACAAGCCACTTTACTTGGTGGCAAAAGGATAACTGCTCTATTTAAAAAGGTGATAGTGGGCAGTATATTACTTCTTCATAGCTTAACAAAAGATCCTTAAATCAACTGTAATGGGCAGGCCTAACATTAGAAAATCTGTGTGTTGGGGATCCCCGGGGGGCTTAGTTGGTTGAGTGTCCAACTCTTGATTTCAGCTCAGGTCATGATCTTAGGGTTGTGGGATTGAGCCCTGCATCAGGCTCCATGCTCAGCAGAGTCTGCTCATAATTCTGTCTCTCCCTCTCCTCTGCCCCTCCCCCATGCACTCTCTCTCCCTCTCGAAAATAAAATAAATACATCTTTAAAAAAATGCTATGTGTGTATACATAAGTGCAAGTGTTGAGGGGCGGTGGCTTTTTCCAGAGCTATAGACAGATATGGTTTCTTTGTTTTTTAAATTGCTTTAGCCTCTTAGCTACCCACTTGGTAAAGGGAACTTAAATGATCACTTAGGGACTGAGCTTTGGTTAGTGTGGTAATTTTTTTGGATAATTCATAAATATTCCAATTCTCCCCTTTCTGCCCATGGAAGGATTGCATTTGCTTACCTCATTTGGAGTTAGGCATGTCCACATGACTTGATTTGGCAAATGAAATGTGAAAGGAAGTGATGAGATTCACCTTGCACTTCCTCTGTTTTTGTCACCAATGAGATGCATGCTGCAGTAGAATCTATATCAGCCAACTCTGTTAGCTGGTCCGGGCCAGGTATTGTGAATGAGAATTGTCAGCCAATGAGATTTGGGGGTTGTTTATTACTGAAGCAGAGCCTGGCCTATCCTGACTAAGCTAAGCAGTCTATGGCCGGGTATCTACTGTGCATGAACATAGATTCAGAAGTAACCAGGTGACATAATAGAACCACTTAACTGATACTTAACAGAGAATGCAGCCCACAAACAAAACAAAACATAACATAACATAACAGAAAACCCTTCAGAATCTAGGTCCTGAGAGCTCTTCCATTTGCACCAGCATTTGCCTTCCCTACCACCAGCTACTGTCTAGCTTAAGTGACTGCTCATTTCTCTTCTATAATCCCTAATTCAGACTACTATCATTGGCAAAATGAGATTGTGGACCAATAACCTCTTTATTACCACTTCCTACATCTCTCTACCTTGCTACCTCCCTCTCTACATCCCTACTTCCTTCCCTTCCTTCTTTCCTGGAAAAAACAACAACTGACTGCCTACTATGTGCCAGGAACTGTATACATTTCTAGAAGAGCAAAGCCAAAGAACTATGATTTGGCTTCAGAGGAGCTGCTATTTAGTTAATGGCATAGTCTGACCTGTCTCAACAAATAATGTTAATATAAAACGGCAAGCGTTGTACTTGAGATATTTACAGAATAAAATATAGGCTTAGATGTAACACGGAATGACTATGATCTTGTATGTCTGGACCTTGAAATTTAAATCAGTCCAAACAACACACAAACATCTTATTAAGATCTACAGTTAGTAGTAGTCTTTCAAACTTTACTAAGTCATAAGTTTGGGAATGTCTTGAGTAGGCAGACACCATTATTTTCAAACAGAAAAAAGAATGATTAAATACATAGAGTATTTGAGGAATGTATGAGAAATGCCTATCTCATTCTGTTAAGCCAGGATGTAGACCCTTCCAACTCACATGATCTTCTCACTATTAGAACAATCATATCTAAAAATGACAATAAATGGAAATAATCAAATAACAAAGAAGATACATAAACATTGGCAAACGATTTGGGCTGTAGCCAGGATGAGAAGATGTTAGAAAATATTTTACAGAAGCCTGTACATTTAAAAGCTATAAACTCTGATTAAAGGAATTTGCTACTTTAATTTTAATTAAGTTTCATCAACCTAAGGTAGAATTGCAATAAGGGTGAAGAAAAAGTATGGAAACAACAGCTTTTCTGTTGTTTTTTATTCAGCAAAGCATACATTTTTAAAACAAAATCATTCAGGAAAAAAAAAAATCTGCTGATACCACAATGCAAACCAAACATAGCAAAGTTTCCCTACTGATAACATATTGTGATTTTTATTTTGGCATGGAGATATCACAGAAACTCACAGACTTAAAATATATATACAAAGATTCCAAGCGCTTATTTGGGAAATATCATTGGAATGTTATAAAACTGTGAATGGCTTCTAGAACGCAATTTACTAAATCAGTCTTTGTTTTCACAAACTAGAGTAATCTCATCCTTTGACGGTTGAAAATATATATAATCTCTATTTTTACAACCAGGGACGCACAGTTAATTTTCGTCAGTGGCGGGATTGGCCAGGCTTTCACTGTCTTCGGCTGCTGCGTTGTGTCCCCGCTGGCTTGGAATAGCAGGAAGCACTCGGTTGGTCCGCAGAGGTCCTCCAGATAGAACTGGGGAGAAAGGATAGAACGAGAGACTTTCAAGGTTTGCTTCTCTCAGAGTCTCAGGAGGAATGGCTGTGGGAGAACGAGGTTATTTCTAAAGGAGTGGAGGCATTTCTAAGGAGCTTGTCTTGTTCAGAGCCTGGCTGCAGGGGAAAGCTGTGTCTCTATCCATTCAGGCTTCCCACATGTCATCAGGGATGTCAAATGTGCACAAACACAGGACGGGGCCAAGTTTGATCAAAACGTGATTGGGCCTTGCGTGCCTGGCAGAGCTCTCTTTTCCTGGGGTGGAGTAGCTGTTGATGGCCAAGTCAGCATAACACTCTAAATGAGCCCCAAGACATCTGTACTACCCTTTTATGCGAACCTCAAAAGGTTCTTGGGGTTCTCTTAGGAAAAGCCCTCTGTACCTTTCCATTTCTTTTTCATAGAGCTGGAGTTGATCTAAGATCTTTATCTTCACTTCTCTCCACACATTTAATTGTGAAGAGCAAAAAGCTCCTGGGCTCTGCCAAAGAAAACCCCCTCTCTGGCTTCTCCAAGCCCTACCAGGATTCAAGGCCGAGTGACTAGTTAATTAGATATCTTTGTGAGTCATTCCTGCTTAAAGACAACTTCAGGCTTGAATTTCATCCAGTGATTGCATTCACACCATCCCAAACCCTCACTTTTACACAAATCAGTCAAAGCAGAGGAATGGATCTGTTAAGGAAGAGATTTTGGTTTCTGCTACAAACTCTGTGTGAGTTTGGACATACATCTCTACCTCTCCCTTTCCTTTTCTGCAGAAGGACAGGGTTTTACTAGACCCCATGGTTCACTGTTCTTACCTAAGGAATCCTAGAACTCTTGATTGGTCCCTTCCAAACTACAGCCTGGGGCAGAAAAGACATGTTGGATATTTATTCTGTGCAAACAGTTGCCAGTGTTTTCCATACGTTACCTCATGTAATCCTCCCAACAACCTTATCAGGCTGGCACTTATAGGCTAAGGGAAGAAACTGAAGGTTAAGAAACTTGTCTGAAACAGGGCAGCTCTTAAATCATCCAACCTCTCCAATTAAGAGGGTATGGGGAGAGAGAGCGAGCGAGCGAGAGAGAACGTGCATGCTCGCATACATGTTATAAATGATGGGGCTGGGATAGAAAGAAGAGGAAAGGAAGGCAATTAGAATCCAGTATTGCTTGTTTGCATGAGCCAGCTGACTCTGTGTCTTATAGTTTTGCTCCCGGCTCTAGTACTTACCTACCTAAGTAATGTTGGGCAAATCATGTAACCTCTCTGAACTCAGTTTTCTCATCTGTACAATAGGAATAATAATAGAACCTGCCTCCTACTACATATATGAGGATATACAAACTCAGAATTTCTGGGGTGTGGGGCCCAGAAATCTGTATAACAAACATTCTAGGTAATACTTCAAATACACTCAAACTTGAAGATCACTGGCTGAATGGAATATATTTAATATTTTATATTGTAAGAAATTTTTGTACAAAATATTATAGAATAAATCAATAATGTCAAAAGCAATATGGGTGAACAGCATCTACATGATTATTCCTTTCTGTTTAGGGATGCATAGCTTCTGAGTACAGGAATGACACATATTTGTACCTGTTCATCATAGTAAGGAAACCAATGTCAAGAGACCAGTCTTAAGAGAAGAATTTTTAAAGCACCTTCTTAAACACATTAAATAGTACATAGCTAAATAAACTTCAGTCATTGTTTTTACAATCCAAACACAAAAATTCCTCAAGGGAGGGAGTTTTTTTTTTTTTTCTAAACAAGCATTACCAACTTGGATGAAGCTTTAAAGACTGCTTCTCTTGTATTTTCCTGTAATTTACAAGTTTTGGCGCCTCATGTTCCCTCAAAAAATGAAAGTAAACTGAAATAAGAGTTAGTTGCATCTAGACATGTTAACACTTGCAAAGGAAGCTGAAGAAGATTCATAATACTTACATTTTTGGTCTGGCAGGGGAGCTAGGTTGTTCCGAGTGATAGGAAGGTCCCTGATCTGGGCTCTGTTTGGGGAGAAATGCTGAAAATTTTGTCCTGGGGACAAACAGAATGGGATCAATCATTTGAGACATAACCAAGGGCAAATTATAAAATCCAATGGATAAGAGAATCATGAAGTTGTTAGAGATCGCCGAGTTTAAGATGCTAACAAGAACCAAAACCATAACAGCTACACTTTATTGAGTTTCTATTATATGCCAGTCACTGTTTCAATGAAAGAAAAAGATGTGGGAAATCAATTCTTGTATAAATTAATTGAAATAAAATTTTATAAACAAGCACAGTTGGCCACCCACTCTATAAAACTTAAAAGTTTGAAAAAATAAAATAGGGTATAAAGTATAACATATCAATCAAATCTGTGGTGAATGACACAGATAAGTGGGATATATTTTTCTAGATCAGTGTTTCTCAATGCTGGTTGCATATAGGAATTATCTGAGGAGTTAAAAAAACAACAACAACACTGCTGCCCTAGCCAAACCCCAGATCAATTAAAAGAGAATCTCTGGGGCTGGAATAGGGCATCAGACTTTTATCCGTTCCCAAGGGATTCTAGTGTGCAATAGGATTGAGCATCACTGCCCTAGAAGATGGGATCTGGGTGAAGTCACCTGGGAGATGGCTATTCTCTACTATAGGCTATAAGCAGTGCTCTGCTGGAGCAATGTGTCCTGGCTCTTGGGAACCGATGGTGACAATTTCAGGACTTTAGTGAGGGGGTTGACATCACAGTGGCGGCTAGGCATCGGTCAAGGTAGAAGTATTTACACCATGGAAATCAGCAAGCACTGATCCTTCTGGAGAGCCAGCTGTTAAATATTTATCAACACAATACTGATTATAAAAGAGCGATCCAAATATCTGAAAATAGAAAGGAATACCCAAGTTATTTAGGTCCTTTTAAATAGTTGACCAAATGGGACAGGATTAGACTCATTTGCCAGCTTGGGCAAGAGATGCTCCCTCTCTAAAACTCAATTTCCTGACATACAAAATGGTGAAAATAATTGTATCTGTCTTTATCACTTGTCATAAAAATAAAGTAGGAGAACAAATGTAAAGCATTTAGCTTACAAGGCTAACGCTCAAGAAACATTAGTAATTATTACAGTTTTATTCTGTGAAGTGTTTAACATGATCTCCTGGAGAGTGGAGAATGTATTCATTCGATCTTTTGCCTCGTAGTCTTGTAAGAATCAAAACAACTATAGGACTGCTGATGGGTTTAATTCTTCTGCTTGGGCCGAGTACTCCTTAGAATAAGGGGGGAAAAGCACTAGCCAAGATCCCCTGTCCATCTGCGTAGGGGAGTCCGATGACATATCGTAAGGGCAGACATCTGAGCACTGCCATTTGATGAAAATTGAGCAAAATTTCCAGTCTCTCTGGTGGGTATTATATTTTTATTCCTTTGTATGCTAAAGGTCAAATAACTTCATAAGCTACTATTTAAAAAGAAAACATCCCTGAGTAGAATAACAGTAAGTAATTACAGCAAGTACCCATATCAACTCATACCTTATTTATCCATGAACATTTGAACAGAAATTTGCAAAACCAAGAAATGAGATAATGATAATTATGGATAATGTTTACTGAGAACTTACGACTGTCAGGGACTGGGCTGAATGCTATAGGCATGATTTCATTGAATCTAAACAATCACTTTCCCTTGTGACATAGATACCATCATCACCTCCATTTTACAAATGAGGACCCTGGCTTGGAGGCGTTCTCAAATGTGTTCAGGGTCACATAATGGAAAGTGACAGAGCCTGGGCTCCAACTTAGGTTTGTCTGACATAGAGCCCATCCTGCCTTCCTAGCAGCCAAAGCCATTTTTACAGGATGCGAGATGGGCAGAAAAGGGATGCGGCAGTGATGTGGGAGGTGGGGGGAGAGCTCAACTTCATTCTGCACTGGCATTTGGCTCAGTTTTGAAGGACAGGGTGGAGCTGTACACAGCCCAAAGCTCTTTTATCTGTGCTGCAGGCACCTCGGGGAGCATCCAGCCCTTGGGGACAGGGTCAAGGACCACTGTCCTAGATTCAAAAGGCAGGAGGGGTTTTCACAGTTAAACAAAGGAATTTAGTTAAGCAACTAAAGAAATTCAGCACTCATCTATTGTGTATTCACCGTATTCCTGAGCCTAGAGCAAGAAGAGGACAAGGCAAGGTGCTCAGGAGGGGATTACAGTGTATGTTGGAAGAAAAACGGGTTAACTTATTCTTTTGGAGACCCAGAGTGGTGGTGTGAGGGCATCGCACAGGAAAGCGGGGTCCAGAGAGGTGGAGGTATCTTGAATCCCACAGAGCTCACTTGAATGTCTGCTCTGTCACTTCCTACCTAGCTCTGTGACCTTAAGCAGATGGGCTAACCTCTCTGTGCCTCCATTTCCTCATTTCCAGAATAGGGATTAAGAACTCCGGAAGTGCTGTCAAAGGGGAAGTATGCACTTCACTATCTGCTCCACAGGAGGCTCAACAAGGTGGAGCTGTTCTTCTATCGTTCATAGTAAGAAAGAGCCACAGCTCCTACAGAGGTCAGGGTGACTTTGAGACAAGGGTGGCTTTTGAGCTGGTTCTTAAAAGATTGTACAAATCTAGGGCGCCTGGGTGGCTCAGTTAAGCGTCTGCCTTCGGCTCAGGTCGTGATCCCAGGGTACTGGGATCGAGCCCCGCATCGGGCTCCCTGCTCTGCAGGAAGCCTGCTTCTCCCTCTCCCACTCCCTCTGCTTGTGTTCCCTCTTTCGCTGTGTCTCTCTCTGTGTCAAATAAATAAATAAAATCTTAAAAAAAAAAAATTGTACAAATCTGCGAAGCACACAGTGGACAGAAGGTATAAATAACACGGGCACCAATGCCACAGAGTGAAAGGTATGGGTTATCAGGGAACTGAGAGACATTCAAGGAAGTGTTCAAGGGGACGGGGGAAAGGATAGGAGATGTGAGGCCCAGACACTGAGAATGGGAAGTGAGGCCCAGTCATGCTGGGAGCATTTTGTTTACCAGCTAAAGAATCTGATCTTTGTCCTGGAAAAGATGCAGCACCTCTGATGAGTTTAAACAGAGGGGTCACAGGATCAGATCCTACAGGATCAGGGAGGAGAGCACATTGCTGCTGGGACAGTCTAGAAAACTGGGGCGAAGGAAGTTCTCTCTTGAAGGAGAAGGGAAGCGAGCACTTTCTTACTTTCAGTGTGATGGCTTGTAAATAACCAGGCTGGTAGTAAACACCACAGAGCTTTCTGTTCCATTTTCTCTGAAAGCTGCTCACAATGAATTGAGCTGATGTGCTCCGAACTTCCTCATTAGGTTAAGTGCCTCATCCCGCATCTCTCTCCATCTAGCCCACTGACAGGTCTCAATGAATGTTAAGTAATAATCATTACAGTTAAATGTTCAGAGTTGCTGATGCAAGCACAGGATATTGGCTGCCAGGAATTCAAACAGTAGCACTGCTAGACCCTATTATTTCTACTAAACGCTAGGGCAGGAAAAGAGAAAATCCAAAGCTAAAGGGACTATCCAAGTTTAAATCAGTGGTGGGTGCAGTGGTATGACTTACAGTATCCAATTGCTTTATCGTATTAGACTTCGTATCAAATATGGGAGATCAATGTTGAAATGTGCTAGATAAAGAACTTAAGCCACTTAAGTGAACCCTCATAACTGTAGTCCAGAAGCCTCAGTAGTTCTAAAAACAACATTCCAAATTGGGTTAAAAATGTCCACAAAAATAAAATCCATAAGACAGGAAAATCTTTTTGTTTTGGGAAGGACAATGTAATTTCTAAGCACATCGCACCGTGGGTAAATTGGTAAGTATACTAACAAACTGGACTTTGAGATTTCAGGAGAGAAATACATTGCCACGGTGATACTTGCTATTTAGGAGATCTGGGTTCGAGTGCTGATTATGTCATTAATTAGTTGTAAGACTTTGAGCAAACCGTTTTAACTATTCTAGGCCATGTGAATTATAACTGAAAAGGGCCTCATGAGACATAATGGTCTCAGCCTCTGGATGAGTAAGAAACTCGCTCAGAGAGATGACATGTCTTGCTTTATCAATGAGGGCTCATCAGGTAAAAAGAGACCTCTCCTGGTCTTTCAAACAGGGAATTTCGTACAGACTGTTGGTTATGTCTGCGATAGAAAAGCTAAGAAGACAAATGAAGAGAGGGTAGAAGGACAATCCAGAGATGAGCTGTTATATGGAAAAAAAAAAAAAAGCAACCCCCCTTAGGCTGGTGAGATGAGAGGAAGAGGAGGTAGAAGCTCGTGGGGGCCAGAGCCACAGTGAGCAGCTGTGGGGGGTGGGGGCGGGAAGGAAAGGATGGAACCGTCACTGGGGCTTCCAGAGGAAGCCGAGGGACATTGTGTACAACTACGCTGCTTTCCCTCATTCTCCTACTCTTCTCCTTCTACCGCGCCTCCTGGGACTTGGCTAAAGTACCTGGAAGCAGCTTCAAGGAAGTCTAGGAAGGTTGTTCCCTGAGAGACAGAAGAGAGCTGGAGGGAAAAGCCTAGATGTGAAAGCAATGAAGCAGTTGACTAGCACATTTACTTAAATTTCATTATCTTTAAAACAAGGTCATTTCTAGCTTGTATCTGAAGCATAGTGCTTAGTGTAGGGCCTGGCACATGGTTTTTTAAAACAAAAAACAAAAACCCAAACACTTCCTTGTGTGTATAACACTATATTCAAATCACTGTTCTAAGTACTTTACTCTTTTAATCTTAACAGCAACTCCCAGTCCTATGTTAGGTTTTTTCCTCCCAGTTTTTTCAGGTGAAGAAACAAAAGCCCAGAGATTAAGTAGCAGCAAGTAAGTGACAGAGCCGGAATTTAAACCCAGATTTTTTTTTAAAGATTTTATTTATTTATTTATTTGAGAGAGAGAGAATGAGAGAGAGCACATGAGAGGGGGGAGGGTCAGAGGGAGAAGCGGACTCCCTGCCGAGCAGGGAGCCCGATGCGGGACTCATCCCAGGACTCCAGGATCATGACCTGAGCCGAAGGCAGTTGCTTAACCAACTGAGCCACCCAGGCGCCCCTAAACCCAGATGTTTTAACCACTGGAGTATTCTGCCTCTCGACAAATTAGAATGACAGAGACTCTAACCATTATAAAGACCATATAATCTTCTATCTAAACATGAGAAGAAAATTGCTTTAAAGTCAGTTGCATAATCATTTTAGCAAATCCATATCTTTAAAAACTCATTTATAGGCTGAAGATTCTTGGGAGATTTATTTTATCACAACTCAGTTGCCTAGAATGGCTCCTAGTTATTATCAGTGCCTAAAAACATTGGTTTGAAAAAATAAATGCTTTGATGTGCCACAGCTAATTATTGAAGATTCCCTTGGAGAATTTTGTTGCTTCTTTTCTGCTATTCTCAACCCCAGGACTATTCAAGTTACCTCACTGGCAAATGAAGCAAGTTTTCAAAGCAAGCTTATTGAATTTCCTTTTATTTCCAATAATATAGAAGGTTTTAGATGGCACCAGTGACAGAATGTACTAGTTCACTATCCAATATCTATTCTCTTCTCTCTTCAAAACAAAAATCCAATTTTCGAGGGACAGCCATGTGCCAAGATAAAAGACTACAATTCCCAACCTCCCTTGCAGATAGGCATGACCATGTGACTAGAGTTCTGGCCAATGAGATGTGAGAGAGACATGGGGGACTAGTTAATGAGAGCTGATTCAGCTGGGGGCATATCCATCTTTCCCCTCTCTGTGCTCCTTTCCTCCTTCTCTAGTTAGCCATAACGGAAGCTGTGGAGCATGCAGATGGAAGGAGCCTAGGCCTTTGGTGATGATGGAGCACCTGGGAACTGCCTAATTCAGACTTCTTTCCTGTGACAGCAATAAAGTCCAATGTGATTTAAGCCGCTGCTACTTTGGTTTCTGTTACAGGCAACTAAGCCCAGTCGTAATGACAGAGAAAAGACAGACCAAGGCTGTCCTGGGAATAGAAAAAGAACAGGATTTTCACAAATTTCAAAAGCTTTTCAAAAGGGAAGGTATTGGGCACCTGGGTGGCTCAGTCGGTTAAGCGACTGCCTTCGGCTCAGGTCATGATCCTGGAGTCCCGGGATCGAGTCCCGCATTGGGCTCCCTGCTTGGCAGGGAGCCTGCTTCTGCCTCTGACCCTCCCCCCTCTCATGTGCTCTCTCTCAAATAAATAAATAAAATCTTAAAAAAAAAAAAAGAGAGAAGGTATTAGCCAGGACAGGACCAAATCCAGAAAGAAGGCTGGGTTGAGGCCCTGGAGGCCACTAAAGTGTCCAAAAAAATTAAGACCAATATCTTTCCTTCCTTTATCCTTCTGTAGAACCAAAGCAAAAACACTATCTATGCCACTAACCACACACTTCAGTGCTTTGTGGAGGAAGTAAAATGTTGGGTGGAGTTTTTCTCAGATACTGGGAAATAGCCTTCCTGTGCTCATCCATATTTATTCTCTGCTTCAGTACATATAAATCTGTATGCGGGGAGCCATACTCTACCTCACATGTTTCGGACAGCAGGCACCTAGAAATGAGGGAAGAGAGCCAGACTCATGCTGCATATTAAATAGGAAGGAATATTTTACATTTCCAAATACGCATGTTCCTCCTCTTGGTCCTTCCTTCTTCTGTGTTTGACAGAAATAGGGGTTCAAGATACAGCATTTTTTCTCCCTCTCAACCCTACTATAAGGAAAACAACAGAAAGCCGTGGATAAAAACAGTGGACATTCCACGGAGAGATACTAGGGAGTGTGCTGGATTGCGCTGAAATGGGGACAGGAACGTCCAACTGGTGTCGAAGGGGACTGTGGTTATTCACATCCAGCCCATTAGGACCAAGTGGGATTTGGGTTCAGTGTTGCCTGACTTTTTAATTTCTCAAGAGAAGCTAGAATTTTCGATTTTTATGTAAAACTTCATGATTTTTAAACATTAGCCATTAATTCACTTGAAAACAAAACAAGACACTGTGGTAATGAACTGATTTGGGAAGCTGTTTTGTAGCCTCTGCTTTACAACAATGGTTCCCTTTCTCTGGTGTGCATCAGAATCACCTGTGGTCCATCTAAAAAATTAAATGTTTTAGTGTGATACATTTATTTAAAAGGGGTGATTAGATACATATTGTTTGTATGTGTATAAAAACAAATTCTTCAGTGTGATACATTTATTTAAAAGGGGGATATGTCCTTATGTATAAATATTTCATGTGTGGGTATATGTGTGTGCACACACGTGTATAAAACATCTCTGGAAGAATACAAAAAATAACATCAGTAGTTCTGATGTGGGGTACCGTGTAGCTGGGGGAAGAGACAGGAGGGAGAAATGCAATGTGCGCCTTTGGAATGCATGGAAACTTGAACCATTAATGTGTGAGTGTGTTTCCTTTCTACGTGGATACACAGAAAGCATTGCCATTTTCCCTCTTCCCTCACCAAGATTTTGCTTCGGTAGGTCTGGAGTAGGGATTGAACACCTGATTTAAAAACAAGCCATCACACAAACAAATCAACCCCTCATAATTGATTTTGCCACTTCCCCCTGGTTAAGAATCTTTGCTACTGGAAATACTAACATTCCCGCTTGAATCTGCCAGTCACCACACATATTTGCTGGGAAGATGAGAAGGCACATACTTCAACATGATGACTGCTCTCAGGGTGGAAAAGCAGAATGCTTCCACAGCCTGGAGATCTTGAATCCAATGGATTCAAGGAAAACAGTTGGCCCTAATCACCATTTTGTTCTGGCCCTGCCCTCTAGGCTACTACCATCAGTCCAGTTCCTCACCCAGAACTGTAGGAAACATTTCTCACATAGAGAGAGCTTGCCCGGAATGAGGGAGAAGGAAGCAAGGACAATACCTGATGAAGGATTGTGTAGGTGAGGAAGATGGGGCAGCCCCAAGACCTCCTGCTGACCAGACCTGCTGGTGAGCAATCTGTCTAGCAGCTTATCGGAAGAAGGCACGGTCCAAGCCTTACAGAACACCTGGTTAGAATCACCTCTCCAGGGGTTATCTAGCAATGTCTGGCAGCCAGTTCTGTTGTGCAGTAAGTCCTGCTCGCTTCGGCTTTTCTGAGATCGCTGGGCCATCTGATGAGTACCGGAGCTCAGGCCAGCTTGGGAAGTGGCCCCCTGGGAAGCCATCAGGAACTTATTGCCCAGGGTGATGGGTGGGAGACTCTGCGTTCTGATTGGTGGAAGCCCCTTATGGGCCAGAGGCTTCTTTTCTGGCAAGAGATATTTTGAAGTCTCCAAGGTCCTCTTCTTAAAGTCGATCATAGCCACCTGATCACCAGGCTCGTCTTGGCAGTTGGTCTCCACGATGCTGTCAAAGGTGGTGATGATGTCATCGACTTCCGAGGTGTGCTCCCCCCTGTGTCGGTCCCTGCTGTGATCTTTGTGATAGGCCCTCTGCTCTTCTTTTTTGTTTTTGCAGAAGATTTGGTTGAGCATGCTAAATCGTCCCTCCTTCTTCTGGGGTCTACTGTTCTGGGAAGGAAGGGGTCGAGTAGGCTCTGTTCTATGGGGATATAAAATAACAAGGATGCTATGAGGAGATAGGAAATAGAGACAATCCCCAACCAAAAAACCCCCAAAAACCTCCTTCTGTTCCATCTGCTTGAGAAGGTTGTCTGAGGTCATCCAAAGACACCCCAAAGCCGTGTCAAGTCAAAGGTGATGTGGAGGAATTTGCAACACCCTTTGTCACTCCCTTCCTTGCCATAGTCACTTCTCAGCCCAGTTATTTCTTAGATTCCTCTTAGTTCCTCAGGAGCTGTCCTTTCACAAAATTTACCTCTAGAGAATCTCCTTTCACCAAGGGATAACCTAAGCTGAACCTCACTTCTCAAGGACAGTCAGTGGGAGTGTAAGTTTTAAGTCGCAGAGATGAAGGCCAAGCATGAGTTGAGGCTTCAACTCATGGGAGTGGGGTAGGCTCGCAGAGGTGGGGGAAGTGTGGTTTGGGCTTTCTCTGAAAGAGATCGCAGCAGATCTGCGCAGAGCTCGGACACTATCTACTTCAGGAAGGTGGCCCATTTTACGCTATTTGGACGTTCTTCGCTTCCCTTCCAGTTTTTACTGAATTTCCTATTGAAAAAATACTTAAAAAAAAGTATACTAAGGGAAACCAAGGGAAGAAGCTTTTGTCTGGGCTTCAGCTGCTCGAGGAAGTGTGTATGCCAGAGATCGGGCGTGGCAGCAGAAGCAAAGTGAGCAATACCCAATGGGCAGGCAAATTCTAAAGAAAAAAAGGTCAGCAGTTGTCCGGCTGGTTCCTCTGCTGTGGTGAGTTTCCCTGAGGCACCATTCTGGTTTTGTTCCTTGGAAAATTCTGTTATTCTCTTTTGAGGCCACAGTTGACTTCGTGCTTTCTGTGGTACGAGTTAATGATGAAACCTGACCCAAGTGTGTGTCCTAAAACCCAGACTGCAACATTACTTTTTGGAGTGAGATACTGTAATCTGTAACTTGAAAAACATCACCACTTGACTGCATATAATTCATGTTTTTCTTTACAGGTCACACAGTGTGTAATTGAATCTTTACTTCCATGATGTATTTTTATCTTCCTTCTTTCACCTTCCACTAGGCTTTTTGAACTATTGAACACAACTTCTGGACCCCTGATATTACCAGAGAGAGCCCCAGGGGATCTCTAACATTCTCTAAAGTGGACCTGTAGAGACTATTTCCCTGTGTGAATTAATCCTACATAAGTGTCTTCTACAATCTCTCCTCCTTCTGTTACAGACTGTGATTTAGGCCAGTGGGGTCTCAGAGTGCGGTCCACTGAACCCTGCGGGTGGGGTCCCTAATAGTCTTCAGGGGTTCCATGAGGTTAAAACTATATTCATAATAATATCAAGATGTCTTTTTCACTGTGCTGCTTTTTGCTCCAAGGGTACAATTGAGACAGTGAGTGAAAGTATTGGGCTCCTTGGAACAAATCAAGACAGTAGCATCAATGGACTTAAATTTAAAAAAATTGTCATTTAAGTTATTAATGTCCAGTAAAAGTGATTAATTTTATTAAATATTAACCTTCGAGTATACATTTTTGACAAAACAGGAAGTACTCGTAAGCAATTCCACTATATAATGAAGTATGACAGTTGTCTTGAGGCAAAACACTTGTGTAATTGTTTGAGTTGCCAGCTAACCCAGGCACTTTTTTTTTTTTCACAGAACACCATTTTTATGACTCATAGACAAACTATGGTTATTTGGAGTTGCCTATTTGCAGAAATTTTCTCAAAAATGAATAAAATAAGCCTGCCATTTCAAGGTAAACAATTGACAGGAATTGCTGCCAATGACAAAAGTCCAGTTTTCAAGCAAAAATTAGAATTTTGAAAAACCTGTGTGCACGTTCTAAGCTTGACAGCTTCCTGATACATAAAGGCTTTTCTGATAAGATCAGTGGTGATATTAACAAATGTGATTTTTATTTTTATTTTTATTTTATTTATTTATTTATTTTAAGATTTTATTTATTTATTTGAGACAGAGAGAATGAGAGAGAGAGAGAGAGCACATGAGAGGGGGGAGGGTCAGAGGCAGAAGCAGGCTCCCTGCCGAGCAGGGAGCCCGATGCGGGACTCGATCCAGGGACTCCAGGATCATGACCTGAGCCGAAGGCAGTCGCTTAACCAACTGAGCCACCCAGGCGCCCTAACAAACGTGATTTTTAAAAATTGTATAATGAAATGTGTCATTTGGAAGATATTCGCAACTAACTGAACCAGTATTTTCCAAATGACCAGAGCAAGATGTTATAAAGTCATGTATGGGTATAAAACCCATTTAAAGTGCAAGGTAGACTAATGGATTTTGACACAACAGAGTATAAAAAGTTCATTGATATGCCGACAGCCCACATTGCAACTAACATTTAGGAAACTAACACTTGTCAAGTTTTGGTGTAATATCAAAGAAAAAGTATCCAAAATTATCTCACAACACCACTGAAATATTCCCTTCTCCAACTACATGTTTATGCAAAGCCAGATTTTTTTCAGACACTTCAATCAAAACAAAGTATTGCAAGAGATGGAACACAGGAGTAGATATGGGAATTCAGCTGTATTGTATCAGGCTTCTGTTAAGATTATCAAAGAGATCTGCAAAACAATGTGAAGATAGGCTATTCTTCTCATTACAACTTGTTTTTGGTTTTGGAGAATAGGTTATTTTTAACTAAAAACATGGTATTTATGTCAACATGTAAATGTAATGGGGTTAATATCGCTTTACGTGAATAAATAGTTTATTAAAAATTTGTTTTAATTTCTAATGCCATAAATATCGATAGGTGTAACTCACGTCCACAAAAGCTCTCTGGGGTTCCCCATTTTTAGAAGTGCAAAAGGGTCCTGAGAACAAAAAGTTTGAGAATTGTTGATTAGGGAAAAAAAGAAGATGAAGAGACCATGGCATAAAGGGAAGAAGAAAGGGAGAAAAAAGAAAGAAGTGCCAGTCGAGCGGGCATCAGGGCTGATGGATTTGGGCTCGTGACTGTCATTTTGCTCCACCGAGTTGAGAACATGTCACCCTCTGTTAGACAATGGCAAACACAATATTAAGGTAATGCTGGCTTTGTACATCAGCAAGTTCAACAATTGTAACCAATTTTATACATCGCTGAGAGGAAGAAAACCAGTGACTGCTGGTGCACTCACCTGCTCTCCTGGGAGAGGAGTCTGATGCAGGCCGCGTGGCCGCAGTACAGGGCGTAGGCCAGGGGCGTGCTCTCCTTGGTGTCTCGCAGGTTGCTGTCCATGCCCAGCTCCAGCAGTGACTGGACACAGTCTGCCTTCCCTGCAGCTGCAGCCCAGTGCAGCGGGGTCCTGGGGGACCACAGGGGAACAACACAAGAGTCAGAGCACAGACATGGCCCAGGTTGCTTAGCTGGCGACAGGTCCTGTTCAAAGTCTGGGCATGGCCTGAAACACACGTTGCTATGTAGGCCGTGGAAGTGGTAAGCATTAGATGCGGCTTCAGGATGATGGTGTGTCTGTCGGAGCCTGTCCTCTAATTCTAAGCATCCCCTGGCCTACTGCCTTCTCTGGCCTTCCTGAGAATGTCCTAGAAGAGGAAGTAGTGGGTCAAAGGCTGTGGATAATTTTCAGGCTCTTTATACACAGGGCCAAGCTGTCTTCTAAGAACATTGACTCAATTTAGCCACCTACCAGCTGGGTCCCTATTCCTTCCCTAAACTGAGTGTTCTCAAAGCCTTCAAAAACCTCTGCCAATTTGGTAGGCAAAATGATACTTCAGGGTTGTTTTCTTCTGCATTTCTTTAATAGTGAAGTTGAACTTTTGAAATACATTTTTGTCATTTGAGTTTCCTCACTGAAATGACTCTTAATATCTTATGGCTGTTTTTCTGTTAGATTATTAGTTTTTCTTATTATTTATGTGGGCTCTTTATGTATTAAAGGTATCAATCTTTTTGCAAACATTTTCTCTAATTTGTTACTTGACTTTTAATTTTTTAGTGATTTTCCATAAAATTAAAAAAAATAACCATTAATCATCTCTTCACTTTCGTTTCTTTCATAACTTTATGCTTAGAAAGCCCTTCATCAGCCAGAAGGTAGGTATATATTCATCAGTATCTAAGCCTTTATTAAATTGTAAAACCAGTATTTTCTTAGGAAAAAAAAGCAAGAGACTGGGAGAAAATACTGTAATTTATAAATTGCCCTGGGAAACACTCAGTCCTGAGGCAGGAAAGAAGGGCATGGACAGCTTCTCCTTGGCTTTTGGTGGGGCCTCAACCTTGGGCAGAAGGGCAGCCAAGTGGGCTCTCAGACATGGAGGCAGCTGAGGGGCTCAACCGAGAAGGGCTCAGTTGGGGCTATCAATGAAGTAATGAGCCTTAATATTTGGAGAGTAGCCTTGTCCCCAGTGTGGCCAGTGCCCCGAGGTGTGGATTGTATCTCCTGTCAATCAAAGCATCCTTCACCTCAGATTATGCTATGGGCAGCAATTTGAGACCACTTAATAGGACCATATTTTTTTTCAATATAGTGATCAATCACAGTGCTAATTTGAATATGTGGCAGATGTGATTCATTCCACCCTACTTGAGAGAGGTCTCCAGACAATGTTTATTATGAAATAGGATGAGGCACCAGCCAGATTATGCCATCCTGTTTAGAGGATATATTGCCAGTAAATTCAGTAGATGAAGGGCTGGACTTCAATTTCGTCAGGTTTACTAACACATGACCACCCACTGGGGAGCAGCTTGAAATATTTCTTCACAACAACTGTGAAGACTGACTGTTTTTGTTTGTTTTTTTTTTTAAAGATTTTATTTATTTATTTGAGAGAGAGAGAATGAGAGACACAGAGCACGAGAGGGAAGAGGGCAGAGGGAGAAGCAGACCCCCCGCTGAGCAGGGCGCCCGATGTGGGACTTGATCCCGGGACTCCAGGATCATGACCTGAGCCGAAGGCAGTCGCTTAACCAACTGAGCCACCCAGGCGCCCCAAGACTGACTGTTTTAATTCTTCGGACTACCAACATGGAAAAAGAGGTCCGGAAGAACAGTGGGGAAACTGAAAATATTTTTCAGAAAAACAAGGGGAGTATATAGACAACTCCTAACTAATACACATAGAGCTTTTGTGCACCATCTGTAGTATCCAATTTCAAGTGATCTCAGCTGTAATTCCTTTCTTATCTCCAAACTTCCTGCAAACAGAGCAGACTGGTTTCAGCCATCACAGCGCGGAGTTGGAGGGTGAGAGCCCATGATGGAAGAAATTCATTAGAGATGGCCGAGGAGGTAGTCTCTGAATGGCAGGAAATGATGGCTCTGAGCATGCAGCATTGGTTGAGGTATCAGCAGCTATGGAATGATTTATAGGACATGTAAACATCCCCTAGAGAATTCCCAGAAACATGGGGGGGAGGGGAACTTGATAGAAGACTATCTTTCCTGAAGATAAATGGGTTGGGTATTAAAGTCAAGTCTGACCCCAGGGGCTGATGAAACTTGGGACATTTACGCCACATAAGCTACTTCTGGGTCACATGTGCTGTGCCATCAATCTCAGGCTAATTTACACCATGTTTTATTTTAATTTTAATTTTTTAAAGATTTTATTTATTTATTTGACAGAGAGAGAGAGACAGTGAGAGAAGGAACACAAGCGAGGGGAGTGGGAGAGGGAGAAGCAGGCTTCCCACCGAGCAGGGAGCCCGATGTGGGGCTCGATCCCAGGACCCTGGGATCATGACCTGAGCCGAAGGCAGACGCTTAACGACTAAGCCACCCAGGCGCCCCTACACCATGTTTCAAATATCATAGATCTATAAAGTACTTTAATATCTAGGAGGACTAGGGCCCCCCACATTTTCCCTCTATTTTTTTTAAATCACTGCCTTATTTTTCTTTCCTTTTCTTCAAACACTTTCTGTGAAGAAGGAAGACAGGAAATCACAGTTACTACAAATGCTTAAGGTACTTACACCTCTGAAAATTTTGAAAAAATTCTAGTACCGAGGCAAGCTCACAGTTTCAGCGTGAAGGCACAGCTGTGTGAAGCAGAAAACGTGAAACAAAACAGAGGGCAGGATCTGTCAGCGCAGGCTACCCAGCAGAGCCTTAGAGCAGGAACTACATCCTCCTTGAGACTTTACTTCACCTTGAACTCTCCTTGGACCTTATCTTTTGTACTCTCTTCCCTGAGGCTTGTGGAGCTGGATTTTCTTTGCTAAGTGTGTAATAATGCCGGATGGGAAATATCCTCTTCAGAGCTGGTTCTAAAAGTACTTTGAACTAGGCAAACTCTTCTCCAGCCCTCCTTTCTTAAGATCCGAGCGGAAGGCAGACGCTTAATGACTGAGTCACCCAGGCACCCCAAATGTGTTGCTTTTTTCGCCTTTTGGATTATTCACCTTTTCTCTTCATATAACTTCAGTCCCGCTACTGTCTTACCTGCTCAGGATCAACATCTGCTCTTAGGAAAAGATCTACTTTCAATGACCTATACTTTAATTTTAATTATAGTCATGTTAACCATCTCCAGCTCCTGAGACTCAGATGCAATCCAAGATTTTTCCCTTGTGTTGCAAGGATTTCAGATATCAGGGAGTATGAGGTGCTTCTGGGAGTTTATCTAAAGTTAGGATAAATAGGTGGCTAATGTTGCAAGAGGGTAAAAAAAAACAAAAAACAAAAAACAAACATAGTGTGTAAGCCTTTTACTTATTTTCAATAGTCTTGTTTGTTGTTAGATTATTCTTGTATTTCCATTGAGTCAATGCTTAACCAAAAGAAAGATTAGATAAAGAGTGTAATTGAAAAGCTCTAATAGTTGATCATGGGGATGAAAAGCAATGTGGATTAAAAGTTCTCTGGAAGACGAGGGTCCAAGTCTTCCTTTAAATGCTAACTACCTCTGAGATAAGTCTCTTCCCTTTCTGGATCCTTTTCCATGCCAATATATTTTTAATGATGGGGGGGAAAAAAAGCTTGATAAAGTCCTATCTGGTTCTGAATACAAAACCTCTATTATGCTCTTGTCTGGATAACAAGAACTTGTTAACTTTATGACATAATCCAGGAATGAAGAAAAAAAAAAAAGACTTACTGTTAAGAATAAAAAAGAACGTATAGCAGGAAGTTGACCTACAGAAAGCCTTCTGAGAACGTTTAGCAAAAAGTGGAAAATCTGACAATACTATACAGTCACAGCGTTTCTCTCCATAACAATGATTTTTCCTGCCCTGACTAAAATAGAGCAGTTGTTATTGTCCCCAGCACATGGGTAAACATTACTGGCAGTGAGGAGATACTCATATAGGATAACCCCTTCACCATGTTCTTTATTCTAAGATTAGCTTTTGGACAAGATGACTGGTAGTCCCCAACACGTCCTGAGTGGCCACAAATACCTGTCGTCCACATCCAGAGCCTGCAGGTTACACTCAGGCACTCTGGCCAGCTCATTAATGATGTCACTGAAGCCCGCGGCTGCGGCAATGTGCGCGCATGTCTTCCCACTCTCGTCGTCGTAGTTGATGATGGACGGACCCTGGTGGTGGCTCAGGATGATGGAGCACAGGGTTCTGTTTCCACTCTGGGGAAGAGAGGTCAAAGGGAGTTCATGAGGTCCAGCCCGGCGCTCTTCCCTCTCTACACATGTTGAGATAAAATACGAAGAGGAAAACAAATGCAAAAAGAAAAGGAAAAAAAAATGGGAAGAAAACACATTTTATCAAACCCTCCTACACATTCCCACTAGCCTCTTGTCACTGCCGGGATTTTTGTTTCCCCAAAGAGCTAAGCTGTCTTCTACGATTAGCCAGCTAAGAAGGACTTCAGTTAAATACAGGAATAGTTGACTGACGTTGGAGCTGGTCCAAGCAGGGGCTACCTACCCAGCAACTTGCTGCTCAAATCTCTGTGCTTTCTTTCCCCGCCTGTGGCAGAGGCAGACCCCTGAGAAGCTGGAAGAGTGAATTCTCATGTTAACAAAATGACCATGAGAAGTACTCACACTGGTGGCATAATGATGACCAAGATGATCCAGTAATGGTCAAATGGCTACAAATTGCATGAAATTTAATCTCCAAAACTCCTTGGTGAAAGGAAATGGATCATAATTAAGTAGCTAATCAATAAAGAAATCAACAAATACGAGAAAGAAAGAACTTCAGGCAACCATGTAAATTGGGCCTATCTCTCTATACAGATCTAATAAACTTTTTATCTTTGAAGGGAGGCTATTATACCCTCTTTTTAGTAAACTGTTCCAGCCTTAAAAGCCACCAATTCTTCCTCGAGAGTGTCCTACATCTCTTCAGATTGCACAAACAGGTGAGTAAAATCTGCATATTACGGGTTTGAATACCTTTTATTGACCTGAAAAATCAAAAAAACATTGCATGAGCATTTGCAATGTAAGATGACAATAAATCTTCAGGGGCGAATGAAAGAAATTCTCATTTTATATCATACAATAAAAAGTTTTATCTTTCAGATTCTCCTGGTATCTCTGGAAAGATCATAAAACGATCCAAATAATTCATTAGCATTTGAATTTTCTCTGAATCCTCAGAGACACCTTGGAACTCCATGCACTAGGACTTATGGGTGGAATGGAGGTTCCTCGGAGGCATACAGAGCAAGTTAAGGAAATGGGAGAGGCAAGTTGTTATTCTGGAAACCCAGCATGCTGGGGTCAGAGACCCGGGCAAGAGAGAGAGTTAGATTTTTTTTAAAAAGCTGTAATTCTGATATGCTTCAAACATTGTTCAGCGGCTACCTCCAGATACATTTTTCCATGTAAAATTTCCTGTTGATCTTCTTCCCACTTTGTTACCCTGTTAATGTACCCCCAAGGTTGCGTTCTAGAACTTGAGTCAGTTTTCACAGTTCCATGGAATAACACTCATTCATTTCACCTTTCCTCTTCCTTTCCCTCCCTTGTCTATTTGCACTCTGGGCTCTCTGGCTCTCCGGATTTCCCATTACTCAGCTGGCTGCTGGCTTCACAATGAGCCATTACACTGTGACCCCTGGATTGTGCTTCCAGTGCATAAGGGGACAGCAGCTGACAACAGTCCTGAAACCTCTTGCAGGACCAAGGGCCAGGAGCCGTCACAGCTCTCAGGAAGAGTGCTGAGTGGGTGTTAAATGCTACAACCAGGGCCAGATACATCATGTGTGGGGCTCAGGGCAAAATGAAAATATGGAGCCCTCTGTTTACACAGCAGGGCACAAGCTTATTCCTTCTTGGTGTCTTTCTTGACATGTCACAGTGATTTTTATTTGTTATTTAGTGTTGTGCTCCTTTGGGCTGGAGATTCTCACCCATTAGAGCAAACCCTCATGGGTGTCTAAGGACCCCTCTTGCAACCAGGCATATGCTTGATCCTGACCCTCCCCAAGTCTGTGTCCAGACCCCTTGCCAGGGGGCTGAGAGTTTGTCCTAGGGAGGCAGGGAGGAAGATACTGGGAGCCACGGTGCCACTGTCCTATCTGACCTCACTAACAAAACAAAAATTCAAAGATAAAATTAATGAGAATTTCCAGATGGCCACCACAAAGCACTATACCCAAGCACAAGGCTCCCTTCTGAGCATGGGGCCCACTAGGGCTGTATTGGTCACATGCCCATTAAGCGGTCCCTACCCACAAGCTTCCTCCTTCTCCTCCACTCAAACCCCCTCTTTCCACCTCCTCCCTCCATCTTCCCATTGTCTCTAATGACTTTAAATTATTTGGATCAACTGGTGAAGTGCGATGGCATGCCTGTTACCAGAAGTCAGCTACACTGAACACATCCAAGCTTTTGTGCCTGCTTTATCAACTTTTCTAAGATTCTTTCACCTGATGTTAAACATATTTTGAAGGAGTCTAAAATACATCTAAAACAATCAAGAGCCCCCACCCCCACCGCCAACACTGACACCTTTTAAAAAAAGTACCAACCATTTGAGAAGGAAAACAGAAGCAAAGAGTTCAGTCAGTTCAGTAAATTTATTTTGTTTACAATCTCCTGGAAGAGCAAAGGAATTCAAGTTGCCAAGGTGATTCCAAGGGCAAAATGCCCTGTCACAGTTCTCCCTTTGAGTGGAAGAGGGAGCGTCAAGCACAGACAGAAAAAACAAAATCTCCTCACCCTGTGCCTTCCTCCTCTCCTGACCCTGAGAGCAGCCATTTTGGAAGTGGCAACACTGACACCCGGGCTGCTTCCCAGGACCTCTGCACCTGCCTCTTCTGGACCCGCCAGCAGCTCCCCTGGGAGCTGAAGGGTCACACACTCCAGAACTCCAACCTCTTATCTTTTTCCTCCAAAAGGCCTCTGTCCTGAATTTTCCAGGGAACTTCTTTGTCTCTACACCTAGCTCTCACTTACACAACACTGTCACTGTATCTTCTTTTCTCTGATAAGAAGATACTCCCAGAAATAATGGGAAAAGCTGTCTTTACCGAGTGAACATTGTGTGCCTGGCACTGTTCCAAGCATTTTCACGCACCAGTTCATTTCATCCTGACAACAACCCTGTGGGGTAGATCCTCCTCTGATGCCCATTTCGTAGAGCAGAATATGGCGGCACACGGGTTAAGTAACTTGCCCAGGGTGACAGCCAAGAAGTGACGTAGCAGGACAGACAGTCTGTCTGCAGAGCCCTTGTGCTTCACAGCTACACCATTCTGTCTCTGATCAAAAGGAACCCCGTCTGTTTATTTGATCTTTCATATTCGTAGTGGAGAAACGAAAGTAAAAAACTCCTGTTTAGGCTGCAACAGCAGTAGCAATGATGTGTGCCTGGCCAAATGAGACCTTTTTCAGAGTGAAACACGAGGTCTTTAAAAGCCTCTGCTCTGAGGGTTGCCACGGTGCACCCTCAGAGGAATTTGAGGGGCCCGAGAGAGCACTAGTCTGTGCGCTGGGGCCTTGGCTCACCGGTTTCCTGGTAACCGCATTTCCTCCTTGGCAAGCTGGCTGTGTCAGGCAAAGGTAGGCTCTAGGCTTGGGAGGCCAAAGGGGGTTACAGAGACCAAGAAGCACCAGAAGGAATGGGATGGTGCCCGAAAGAGCCCTCAGGAAGAAAGGAGAGCGGGGCTTTCCCTTGGGAGAAATGTCATTAAACAGGGGAACTAACAATATTGTACAGGTCCTATTCTTATGGAGCCCTGGAATCCTGCACTGGATGACCAGATGAAGATTGTGGATTTGTTTCTCTGTTTTCTGTCGTACTTGTTCTGTTTCTGTTCATGGATAATTCATACAGTTGCCTTCATGTGCTCTGAAAACTGCTGGGGACTATAGTGCTAGTCATTGTCACTTTATACCTCATGAGGGAGGGTTCATAAGAAGCCTTGTGTGATATAATGATTTATAAAAAAAATATATATGGTCATTCAGATTCCTGAAAATGCTTCAGAGCCATAAAGGTGAAAGGGGTGTCTTGTTATTAAAGAAGGTGACTTTTGGACCCCACCAAGGGTGGGGCTGGTTGCCAGGAGGGCCAACCATGTGATTAGAGGGTTGGAGCTGTCAGTAGCCCCACCCAAAACCTCCAAGGAGGGGAGAGGGGCTAGAGGTTGAATCAGCCCATGGCCCAGGACTTACTTAATCATGACTGTGTTGTGAAGCCTCCATAAAAACCCAAGAGGGCAACTTTTAGGCCCTTCTCAGAGAGCTTCCATGCTTGGGGAACCAGAAGGTTTCCATGTGCTACCAAGCCAGACCCCAAAATCCATGAGGACAGAAGTTCCTTTCTTTGGGACCTCACCCTATGTATCCCTTTAACTGGCTGTTGATTCCTATGCTTTATCATATCCTTTCATAAAATGGTAAATGTTAGTGTTTGCCTGAGTTCTTTGAGCCACTCCAGCAAATTAATTGAATCTAAGGAGGAGGTCATTGGCACTTCCAATCTGTAGCTGGCCAGTCAGAAGCACAGATAACAGCCTCCTTGAGACTGGTGTCTGAAGTGGGGCATGAGGTGCAGCTTTGTAGGACTGAACCCTTCACCTGTGGAACCTGATGCCATCTCCAGAGACACAGTGTCAGAATTGTCTTGAATTCTCAAACACTCTTAAAGACCTTGCCACACACACACACACACACACACACACACACACACACACAAAGTTGAACTAATATATAATAATTTTGCTGCAGGCAGACTGCTAAAAAACAAGATTCCAATGTTCTGACTGCAGATGCTTTTTATTCTAGAAGACCTTCCAAAGGGTCTTAGTGGGAGATTTTGATTGAGTTGGTTATTTGCTAACACATGTCTGGAGAATTAGTACTATTGTGGCTTCTTCTTAGAGGGAACTCCAACCTCCCTCCTTCTCTTGGAAGCAGTGGCCCATTTGCATCACTTGTTGCATGACGGTGACCAGATAAATGGGAGGCTAGGATTTTAGGTCATAAGCCAGAGCCAGATGCATCAGGCTGGGAATACAGCTTCGAGGGAACATCTACCAGTCTACACAAGGTGAACATTTGAGAGTTGAGAGCCTGGGGCTAACCAGAGAAAAAAGATACCTAATAGCCTAAAGTCTGAACCATGTTCATGCTTAGCCCCTTTGGACACAAGCTTTACTGCTTGGCCTGACTCCAGAGGCCACTGTACCCCAAAGCCTGGGGCTGACTGCCCTGGAGAGCTAGGGCAAGACAGAAATTGGGGGGGATGGGGCATGAGGCATGCTGACCCTCCACTGCTGAGCTACTTCATTTCATAGGTTCTCTAATACTGTAGAGGAAAAAAAAAATCTCCTTTCTTGCTGTGTTAGTGTGTAGAAAGGGGCTGAATTCTACTGGCTGTCTGACAAGATGGAAATCTCCAGGAGGACTCTCTCTTGTCCTTGCTAAATGTCTGACTGGGAATCTTTCTGCTGAAATGAAGCCTAGCAGAGAGTAACTCTCAATAAATATTTGCTGAACAATAAATAAATGAGTAAAACAAGCCTGACAAACTATAAGCACATTGCCCTTAAGCACATAGTCTAGAAGGGAAGAATCAGCCATTCCACTGCTTGCAACACCAGTCCTAGACATAAGAAAGTACTAGATGGGCAACTCAGAGGGAACAATTCTGAAAGGGAGCTCAACAAAGAAGGTGGCATTCGGTTGGGTCTTCAGGAATAAGAAAGAATAAGCAGAAATTCTTCAGGTGGAAGGGATGATGTGAGAAGTGCAAGAAGGGTTTCACCAAAACAGAAGAGGGTGACTAAGGTGCAGACAGAATGAATCTCTGTGATGTATTGAAGAGATCATTCATATTTCAGTGTGATTGGAGTAAAGCCTATATGGGCTGAAGAGGAGATGTCAGGAAGTGGGTGGGGCGTAGGGAATGTTTGTTTACAACCTTTTAGGGGTAGTCACTGATCCTCACTGAGGAATTGAAGAAAGTCATGGATGACCTCCTCAGAAAAAAGTTTGCTAACATATTCACACACTCACACATAGCCTATTTCATACAGTTGTAGCGGTTTTAGAAGGGACCTGTCTTGTTAGTCCTTTTTACCCCCAATGCCAGCCCAGGGAGTTTGTTCTGTACCAAAAAATGGAACTCACTAAAAGTTTTTGAGCCAAGGCCCAACAGTGACCATAATAACTGTTCTGGTGGAATAACAATTGTGTTCATACATTCCTTTGGAATTTGTAGAAAGAAACCTTGGTGGCAATGTGAGAATAGAAGGGACAAGGAAAGGGCTGAAAGTAGGAATACAGATCCTGAAACTGTTCAGATGAGAGATGGTAGAAGCTTGATCTAAGAAAGTGACAGTAGGTGTGCAAAATTGTCTCCATTTGCTCTTCTGGGTTTACTCTCCCATCTTTTTCCATCCTGCTCTTCCCTCTAGCCTGTATGAATTGCATCAAATGGGCTCCCTTGCCCTATGGCTTCTGGTTGGGTTTGGCCAATGAGTGACAATGACAGGAGATGGGTGTAGGAGGACAGAGATTAGGGTATTTATCGTTCAGTTCTTTCTCTGCCGGGCCAAGGTTTGGTCATTCCATCAAAGGCTACACCTACTGTCCTGGGACCTCCCCTACAGCTCCATCTTTTGCTGTGTCTTAGTAACCACCCCTTCCCATGCACTCTTAGGCCCATATGCCCTAATGGCAACCTGCTGTGGTATTCGAATAGCCTCTTCAGGAACTTCTGCCCAATTTATCCCATCATGACTGGGCTATGTTTCCTGCTGTGACCCTGACCTGTACAGTGGGGACGGAAAGGAAGTGACAGAGATGTGAGAGCTGAGGAGGTAGAATTGAGGGGTCTTGATAACCAACTAGATATGAAGGGTGATAAGGAAGGAGTGTGGACCATGCAAAGCCCTTTGGCTTGGGCTACTACAAGGACGAGAATGTGATGGGAAGGGAAGACCATGGGTTAAGTTTGGACATGTCCAGTTTGAAGTACCTGGGAAATGATGTGGAGATGCCCAAGAGAGCTAGAAATGTGAGTCTAGAGTTTCAGAGAGAGGTCAGGTTTGAGAATCTTCTGAATAGAATGATAGTTGATACAATGGGCTTTCTGAGGAAGAGAGGAAGAAAAAGATGGGGGACTGAACTTCTGCAGGGTCTCCTGGGCAGACAGGAGAGGTGAATGAGGGCAACGGGCTCACAGGAGGGCATTATCAGCTACCAAGGCCCCTGAGAGATGGGGCAGAAGCCCAACCCCAAATCACTTCATGGGCCTAATGTTTCCAATCCTTCCTGCCTGGTTATCTGGGTGAAATACAGAGGCTTTATTATTTTAAAGTGCTATAGCTTTAAACATGGGCTCATATGGTCCAAGAGAAAAGCAGGAAGTTGGGGGAAAGGAATAAATGACAACGGGAAATAGACTCATTCATGTGGAAAAACCGTAAAAGGAGCACAATGCTGGTCCTGTGCTATAAATGAACCAGAAGGCTAAAGGAGGCAAGTATAATCATGGTTTCAGCTGACATTTGGAATTACCCTTAGTCTTCTTTACAGATTAAAGGGCAGGACACACCACTTCTGAATTTCACTGCTAACCACAAGGACAGAGAGGGTGCATGGTTCTCCTACAAGTGTGACTCTGAACCTTTTAGGGGTAGTCACCAATCCTCACTGAGGAATTGAAGAAAGTCGTGAATGACTTCCTCAGAAAAAAGTTTGCTAACATATTCACACACTCACACATAGCATATTTCATACAGTTGTAGGGGTTTTAGAAGAGACCTCTCTTGTTAGTCCTTTTTACCCGCAATGCCAGAAACACAGTAGGTGCTCAAGAAATATATATTAAGCAATTGAGTAAATAAATGAATGACGCAGTATGCTTACACCAAATCATGGTCAAAATGCAAATATCTTAGGTAGGAGTAGATAAGGTTTTAGCACCCATTAATTAATATGAATTCATTTATCATAGCAGTTTTCAACCCTCGGTGCACATTACAATCTCCTGGGGTGAAGGGAAGCTTTAAAAAAATATGGATACCTGGGCTCTACCCCAGAACGGCTGAAAATCTAAGGGTGTGGGACTTGCATATCAGTATTGCTTAAAAGCTCTTCAGATAATTTTAAAGTGCAGACAGGACTGCGATCAATGTAGCAGGTTAAAAGCTCTATCATTTAGTAGAGAGAAAGTATAAGAAGATGTGGGTATGATAATTAAGCTGTTGTGGAGGAAATCAGGAACCATAACAAAAACGGTTATCTATTCTAATTACCTAGCACATTACATATTGCTGTCATATGCACACTCTCATTCATACCCCAAAGACACACTGAGAGTTATGCCAAGAGGGATTGGTGATTTTTCTCAGATCAAAACCAGGTCTGTCAATGCCAACAGATTTTCTGAGTTGAGTACTGAGTGTTCTTTTCATTTTGCCAAACGGCCTCTTTGAGGATAAGAGAAGGGGTTCCCACCCCTGAAGAGTCCAAATCAGAAGGTCTGGAGTGGGGCCTGGGAACCTATCATTTTACAAGCACTGCGGCTGGTTCCACTGCAAGGCCGGGACCAGAGCAGTAGCTCTACATTGTGGGCAGGGTGGAGGCCGTGGGAGCAGAGATGTGAGCCCCATCCCAGATCTGCAGAATCAGAATGCAAGGGTGATGAGGGTGAACACAGGAAATGCTTGATTTGGAGACCACTCCCACCACAGCTGAGCACCAGCACATATGGTGACCCAGCCAGAGGACGGGGCCCCGAGCAGGGACGGGCATGAGGGGGGATGGGGTGGGAGATTAGATACTGAAAGTAGGTAGGAGGAGGCTACAGCAGGTGGCGAGAACAAAACCAGTTTTGCTCACTTTGCAGTCTTGCCCAGAGCTAGTCGCGGTACAGAGTAACTGAACAGCCAAAGTTGGAGGGACAAAACCAGAGCAGTTTCCAAATCACTTCTGTTTCAATTTTACCTCAGGCCTGAAAGTGCCAGGTGCCCGTCTCTGGCATGCTTGGCACGTGAAACAACTGGGTGAAACCGCGGGCAGGGCAGGCAGAAACCCCTCTCACAAGGATCCCGGCCGCAGCTCAGCAAGGCTGATGAAGATGAACAGTGGAGGGGTCTCTGCTTGGGTATCAAAAGACAGAATGGGCTGGCAAGTTTGTTGAAACGATGCATAATACTACTCTCCTCTGAAGGATGGAGTAGATAACTCTGAATTAATCTATTCTTCTAAAATAGAAAACACGTCAATAAATGTGAGCTATGGGCATTCTTTCACCTTATTCTCACTTTCCCCCTCTTTGGGCTATAGATTTCTGGGGCCTATTCTGATTTTTTTGGTCATGTGTTCTGAGATAGACTCCCTTTTGTGATCATGGGATAGTGTTAAGAGGCATGATTTTCATTGCTCAGCACAGAACTCAGGGTCACCTGGAATAACTCTGCTTTGGAGGATTTGGAAGAAGAGAGTTATGGTCCAAAGACTTTGAAGGGATTTTCCTAATAAAACTTTGAAGGTTTATCCTGGTGCACCATGAGCTACTTAGCAAGAATGGGGATGGAGAGAGAAAGAGAGCAAGCAAGAGAGGTATTGTGTGTATGCATGTGGTGTGTGTGTGTGTGTGTGTGTGTGTGTATAAAACAGCCAAAGCAGGCTCTCTTCCCCCTCTGTATCTTGGTGGGGTTTCTTCTCCCCAACTGATGCACCCAAATCCTCCAAAGGGACAGGTTTGCTGTCGCCCTTTGGTTCTGAAGGGACGGGAGGAAGGCAGCATGAATCTTCCTTGCTCTAGCACACATATAATCTCCACCATCAGTGCAGTGGCTGCACCTTTGATAATTCCACCTTTCAGGTCTGACACACTCAGAGAACTTGTAACATTGCTTTATACCATCTAAACTGGAAACAGGTTTACCGGCCAATTTCTCACCTGGACTGCCCAGTGGAGAGCTGTTTTAAAGTCTTTATCCACAAGAGTAGGGTCTGCTCCCTTCTTCAGCAGCATTTGAGTGTGTTGAGGCCGGTTGTGGAAAGCTGCCCAGTGGAGTGGTGTCATTCCCTACAAAACCACCGTCAGAAAGGGGAAAGGTCAGCACAGGCTATCAGGAAGGACAATGGAGCTCACACTTCCTCCCCAGGCCCAAGGGCCACCACCAGATACGTTGGCTGCTGCCAGTCAGTTCATTCATTCCTTAAACCATTCAGTCAAGGGTGCCTGGGTGGCTCAGATGGTTAAGCGTCTGCCTTCGGCTCAGGTTATGATCCCAGGGTCCTGGGATCGAGTCCCGCATTGGGCTCCCTGCTCCTTGGGAGCCTGCTTCTCTCTCTCTCTCTCTCTGTTTCTCATGAATAAATAAATAAAAAATCTTAAAACAAAACAAAACAAAACAAAACCATTCAGTCAACAGATATTTACTGAGGTTCTGCTTTGTGTCAGGAAAACAGGGATGGAGAATACTACAGTGAATTAGATAAACAAAATCTTTGCCCTCATGGGAACTGCAGTGTGGTAGAGGAAGAGAGACAACAAATGCAAATGAGCAAAAGGATTTTCCAGATGGTGCCATGCTATAAAGAATGCATACGGCATGGTGTGAGGGAGTAATTGTGGGCTTAGTGACTGTTCTGCATGGCCTCTATGAGCCAGGCTGGGGGAACAGAGTAGCGAGCGCCAAGCCACAGAGGCAACCACTTGTGACTGGGGTCACACTAAGCTGCCGTATCCCACCACAGGGGGAGGGGCATTGTTTTACTGCAGTATCCCCAGTGGCTACAACAGAGACTAGGTAAACAGCTGTTGAATGAAAGAATGAATGGAGAGGGAGAGAGAACCTTGTGAAATGAGTCTGGAGAGGGAGGCAGGGCTGATCCTGGGATGTGGGATGGGGGATACAAACTCTGTATAAAGCATTTAGATTTTAGTCTAAAGTCAATGGAAAGACAGTGAAGGGTTTTAAGTGGATGTTGACATGATCTGATTTACCCTGTTTAGAAGAAATCACTCTGTGGCAGCTTGTATGAGCCCATCTGGTGAATCTCAGCTTCTTTCAGAGCTTAAGGTCACACGCTTTAGACATCATTTAATAATACAATGAGCTTATGCTGGGAAAGGTAACCATGAGGACCAGTATTATTTGGGAGTGTATTATGAAAAGATGGCCTCTTCTCCTTGCCCACACCTCTCAGTTACCCAAAATATGTCTAAAATGACTCTAGATTAAGATGCTTGGTAAATGGGGTAAAGAGTATGGGCAGCTTTAAAGTTTTTTTCATAGTCACCTCTGCAGATAACATAAAGGTAAGAGTCTAATACTTATCAATCCAATGGTCTTTATGAGTTCTTATGTAGATTAATTCACCAAATCCTCCAAACAATCTTCTGAATTAAGTACTGTGCTGAAGTCTACTATGTGTTCCCCAAACTCTATGTCCTCTTCCTCCAGGGTGCACAGGGTACATTCCCCAGCCTCCCAGCAGATAGGGGTAGCCTTGAGACTGAGCATTGCAATGTGGACAGAGGGGGTGGAAGCCCCTAGTAGGCCTGCCTAGAAAACAAAACCCACGCAGTCTCCCACACCTTCTCTCTTTCCTCATTCAACAAATGAATGCAGAGAACAAGACTAGAGAAGATTCCAGAACCATGTAATTATGAAGTCCAGGACCCTGACTGATGGGGGAGAATCAGGCTACCCTATCAACCAGGACTGGACTATGATTCTAGCAAGAAATAAGATTTTACTGTGTCAGGCCATTGATATTTTGAGTTGATTGCTATAGCAGTTGGCCAACTCTGACAGGTGCCGCTGTCCTTCTCGTTTTACAGAAGAGGAAGCTGAGCTCTAGAGAAGTTCCCAAGTCTGTGAGTGAGCACGGAACTGAATCTAGGGTTTGAGGTTTATGAGGGCACTGGGATGAGAATGTTAATCCCCTAGACCAGTTCGAAAATTCTAAATCATTATATTATGGTCTGCTTTCAAGTTGCGAGAGTCACATAAGTGAGATATGCTCTTGAGGATATTTCAAGAAATTGGTTCCATACGGAAAAGAATGCTAATACAAAAGCAGGGGAACTTCTTGTTCTTATTCTGACAGCTGAATATTTACTGAGGATTCAGAATAACTCCATGCATTTCAGTAAGTCCTCTTCATTGTAAGTGTGGCCCATTGGAACTAGAAATCTGGACTCAAGAGAATCAGATTATCTTTATTACGCCTGGATTTCCCCTTCCCAGTGCTGAGTCCCATTTGCTTCAGACTCATTGGCTTCATCATGAAGTGCTACCAGTACTCAGGGTTAAAGACATCAAAGAAAATTTGAAGACACTGTAGTGGAAACTTCATGAGGGTAGGTCCTTCTCTGCTGTCTGAAGCCCTAGAGCTTAGAACAATGTCAGGAACATTGTAGGTGCTGAGTAAGTTGTTATTTAAAATGAATGACTTCTTAACTGTCCTTGATTGAATTTTTTTGCTTTTGTAAAATTTAGCTTTGCTTTTAAAAACTACATAAATAAAAAAAGGCAAAACATGACTTCTCCTTTATAGAGAATCAATTTGTCTGATATGGTCATTGTTACCAACTCTTCAACTGAAACCTGGTAGAATTTTTGATCAGTTCTCCAAATAGGTATATGGCAATCACTCTATGCATAGGTATGATTTACTGATATGAGAACTCAGTGTGAAAATAAGGTTATGAATTAAGTTCTGATGATGCACTGCTAATCCTTGTCTCCTAAACACAACAGTTAAACTTCTAGAGTTATTTCCTTAAAACAACTCCACCCAACTTCGGCATGCTTTGGTAAAGTGGTGGGGTGGAGCACTAGCATTTTTTGTATATCTACTTCCTGTCAAGAAATTTATATATATTACCTCATTGAATATTTATATACATACACAATCCTAAGGGGTAGGCATTTGTAGGCCCATTTTACAGGTGAAGAAACTGAAACACAGGTTAAGTAATTTGCCTAAGGCTATGGTTACATGCAATAGTTGGGATTTGAATCCAGGTCTCTTCAATCCTGGAGAATAACATTCTTCCCACACATCAGGCTGGTAGTCTTTCATTTTGGAAATGAGCTCAAATGCTGGAGAATTCTTTTCTTTGTGATTTTAACTGGGTTCAGGGTCATCTAACTTTTTGGAATGGTGGTTTTCATTAGTGTAAGGGTCACCATCCTATATTATTATTTGTTGCATTTGGCATTGCCTCTAGGCTCTTACTAAAAACATAGCTGGTGAGTATTTATTTTTGTAAGGTATTGAACTATAGATTTTCTTCCATCCCCCACCCTGGAATTTGGGTGATCATCTGACCCTAAATCAAGACTTGAATCATTCCATTCCTTCTTGAAATAATAATAATTATAAACACATACACACACATTGTTTATATTACACTACAACAGGCTGCAAATAGTCAAGTCAAGGGAACTTTTCCATTGCTGTTTTTTCAACTGGGCTAGTGAGCAATAAAAATAAATCCCCTTGAGTTAGTAATACGAAAACCAAAACTTTCAGAATCAGCTTCAGTGCAGGCCCTGGCATTGCACAACCCTCTGTGTTGAAAGCTTGTAAATAAGTCACTTTACAATTAAGCTCTGTGGTCAATGAAACAGGAAAAACAAACAGATCATTAATTGATCAAAATTGATCAAAATGTTTTTGGAAGATCTTTTTTTGGAATATCCACTGCAGCAGGGGTTATAGCCATGGATAGAAATCAGGCTTTGTGTGAGCTTAGATCGAAGAAATAAAGTACATCCTTACGGTCACTAACTTCAAATTGAAATTTAGCATCTTCTTTAAATATGAATATAGGCAACCACTGTTAACAATACCTGTGACTTTGCCAATGATATAAATCACAGATACTTTTGTATTGCATTAATTAGGGCAGATATCTTAAAATATTGTTTGTATGCATCACTAGTACAGTGTTATTTGTCCCACCACTAAATCTTAATGCATTAACAAGCAAGCTTGCATATCACCATTACAGATTTGATCTTTATAATATTTTGATAACTGTTTTTCAAAATAACTGGTTTCTTTTGTAATCCTATGTATTTTATTTTAGGTAGTTTCAAACATTTTTCTACAGATGGATGCATCAGCTTCACCAGCACACCAGAGGTGTCCATGTCATAAAAATGGACAAGGACTCCTGGCCTAGAGTCTACAGCACATTTTTTGAAGATCCCAAATGATATAACATCTTATTTTTTTGAGAGTAGATTTTTGTCAATAATTAAAAGTCACCTGGAGAGTCAAGTCTGATAAATAAAATGGGTAACTGAATTGGGTCAACAAAACAAAGAGAAAGGGTCAATAAAATAAAATTATTTTAAATTTAGTAATTCTCTATATACACAAGTATATATTTGGGGTGAGGGCTCTACTATGTGCAAGTTACTGAGCTAGAGTCTAGGGATCCAAAAATAAAAAAAAGATATGGCCTGCCTCTAGATGCACAGGGAAAGGAGAAGGTGAGGGTTCTGAAGTAGCAGTGACTCTACTCCATTTTTTTTAAGGTGTTCATTTTTAGGATAAAAATTCTGGAGCATTAAAAAAATTTTACTTTATTATTTTACCTTTTGCTAACTGTAAAGTAAAATAATTTCTAGAGTCAGGCACTGTTTCTATTGATTTTGCCTTGACAGTGCACAGTCTCTGCTTATGGTTATGTCTTAGGGATGTTGTAAGTGAATTTAGTGCTAAGACTTATATCCAAAGGTTCACATCTGGTTTTGCAACTTGGATTTATTTTCTCAGAGCACTGTTATAATGAAAGTTTGGATTGTCCAGGTCACTCACAAAAATCTACTTATATCAGAATGTGCATTCAACATAGGATTAACAATATATCCTAAATACAATTAAAAACAGTGCTTCTCTGGATAAATGCATTAACAGTCCTAAACCAGATGCCATTAGTTTGTAGCCCTTTTTGATGGAGCACTCTTCCTGTCAAAGCTAAAATGAGAGCAAGAGAGGTTAGATTCCAGGAGTTTAGCAACTGGTTAACTCCCTGTAACTGCAATAGTCAGCCGCTCTCTGTGTCAGTGATTTCCTCTGAGGTCCAGAAGAACAAAGGCACAAAGGACAATCTGACCCATTTCGCCTTTCCCTCTTTGTTGAAAGCTTGTAAATAAGTCACTTTACAATTAAGCTCTGTGGTCAATGAAACAGGAAAAACAAACAGATCATTAGAACAGAACAATTACAAGAAAACTTAGCATAATGTAATTATGTCTTGTGGGGTTAGGGAAGGCCTTCTTTAAAAAGACATCAAAAGCAAAAGCAGTAAGGAATAAGAATGATCACTTTGATTATATCATATTTTAAAATTTTTGTACTAGAAAAGACATCACAGTTCAAAAATGAGCAATGGACTGTGAAAAACAATTTGTAATCCAACAGCAGGCAAAGGATTAATGTTCAGAATAGAAAATAAACTATGAATCCATACAAAAATGAAAAAGTAACTCAATAAATGAATGGACAAAAAAATCTAAAGAGGCAAGTCACAAAAGAAGATATAAAAATGGCCATTATGCCTATGAAATGGTACTCAATCTCATTAGCTATCAGGGAAATGCAAATTAAAACAACAAGAAAACATGACCAGCACACTATTCAACTGCAGGTAGGGCTATAAATTGATATAGCCATCTTGGAGAAGCACCAGTCGTGTGTATTGAAAATAAAAATGTACACCCTGGTTCCCAACATTGGTTTCTAGAGAAACGATTGTGTAAAATACTCAAGGAGGCTTGTATAAGAACAGTCTTTAGAGGAGTGTTTGTGATGGTGAAAAATTGGAGAGAACCTAAATATACGTTCATAGGGGAATACCAATATAAATGGAGGTATTTTCATAGGGTGGAACATCATGAAGCCATTAAAAGGAATAAGCCAGATCTATATGTATCAACATGAATAGAGCTCTAAGACATACTGTTGGGTGAGAAACCAAAGTTGTAGAACAACATATGGAGGGGATATCTTTTATGTTACAGTCCACAGTGCCTGTGAATATACAGAAGACTTTGGGAAGGAGACACATCAGACAGTGATTACCTGGGGGCTAAGGTGGTAGGGTGGAAGTAATCAAGGACTTACTATCATTACTTGTAATATTTAAATTTTTAAAAAGCAAATGTGTTTACATATTACTTATACAAGTAAAAATTAATAATGCAAAAAAAATTGTTTTAAATCACTGAGCTCAGATCAGGACAGTTACTAAAGTGATAAATCATTTCCCTGATATGAAGTACTACCTCATGTTTTATTTTACTTCAACAGTTAGAGGAGAGAGGCTTCTTTCTTCCTGTCTCTCTTCTGTAGTTTCAGTTTATAATCTAATCTATCTCTTAACAAAGTTAGATTTCTACTAATGGATCCTTTAATCTTTCATCATTTCTGTGAGAAGCTTGGGAGTCCTTCTGTTACTCTTGGAAAATAATTTCATTCCGACTATGTAGAGGTATGCCTTGCTCTTTCCTCTTGTATTAGAAAACCCTAATGCTTCACTGGCAGCATTAACTTACCATTTCCCTCATTTCTTTTGCCTTTGATCTTTTTCCTTCCTGTTATTTAGCAGATGCAGGGTGTGCATGTGCCTATGCTTTAACTGTTATCCTCTCATATATAATGGAGACTGCGTTGTGCTTGGAGCTCATTGGCAAAGTGATTGACGGAGGGGAAGAGCAGGCCATTGCTTATTCAGAACACTGAGAAGCCCAATGTAGGCAATCTACCAAGGTGGCGAATGAAAAAGAGCCTTTGCTGTGTTCTTTCCATGTCAGAACTGTCCTCATTTCCCAGTTGTAAAGAGCTTCTAGCCCTTATAAATTTATACAGATTGACTCATACTAGCAATCATATGTATATCATTGCTCTGTCTGTGTACACACATTATATATATATAGAGAGAGAGAGAGAGACAAGAACTAGCACTTAGATGGGTTTCAGATGTGCTGTGACACATCCCAAAGAGGAAGCTAAAACATTGGAAGTAAGTGTCCTTTTTGAGGTCCTGCTCTCTGCACATAAAAGCCACTGGGTCACAATGCTGGTGTTAACAGTGGGAGGAATCTCCTCTGAGAGGTTACTTTGCATGAGAAAGAACTGGAGACATTTCCAATATTTAGCACATATTATCTGAAAAGTGTAACAATTACCACTGTTAGAAAGATCTGGGTCTAATGTCACTGTCCCCAGCAGCCAGGGGCCTTGCAGGGTGGGGAAGAATAGGGAACCATGACTTTGCTGGAGGATGTTCTTTTAGCTGAAGACTGAACGGAGTTGGAGGTCTATAAGAGGAGTTAAGCTTTAGGGTAGGAATGACTGAATTTGCCCCCTTTCTAAGAAACGCCAGTTTTGCTGGGTGAGGGTACGAGTGGAGGTAGAGGAAGTGGTTGTCAACTTTCCCAAACTCCAGAATTCATGATCAGTTGGCAAAAACTGTACCACTTGGGATGCCTGGGTGGCTCAGTCGGTTAAGCGTCTGCCTTCGGCTCAGGTCATGGTCCCAGGGTCCTGGGATCAAGTCCCACGTCAGGCTCCCTGCTCAGGTAGGAGCCTGCTTCTCCCTCTCCCACTCCCCCTGCTTGTGCTCTCGCTCCCTCTCTCTCTCTCTGACAAATAAACAAATAAAATCTTAAAAACAAAACAAAACAAAACTGCACCACTCAAGCTCCCTGCTTTCATACCATGGACAGAGTAGTCAGAGAGTGCTTTCTCATTGCTGGTTCTCATTTTTAAAGCAGAAGTTTAAAGCAGAGCAATCCCCTCGTTCCGAGGGTTTTGCTTTAAGCCACTGAAGACATGGGGAGTGAAAGCAGCATGTGACCACGGAGTCCGGTGGTGTCCAACCTCAGACTGAGGTTGTGAAGAAGGGGCTTTTCAGTGTGGTCATTGATGCCAAGCCAGCTGGGAGGAACCCTGTAATCAGAAAGCTTGAGAAAGATGAGGGCCCATCCCCGGAGAGGGCACTTCCTCCTACACTGCTGTCTCTGGCCACCTGGCTTCCTTAAAAACAGTGTAATTTGGGATTTTCATGCATATGCATTTTCAGTGCTATCATGCTTTCTCAAGGTTATCAGACATTCTTAGTAAAGTGAAGCCAAACCAAGCACATATTATATTAAAACAACAACAACATTAAAAACCAGGTATTTAAATCGGTTTAAAGAAGCATGTTAAAGAAAACAGGCTGGTTAATGATAATCAGTCCTGTTTTTTTTTTTAAACAGTTAAGTAGCTAGAATAAGATCCTAAGCTACTCTGGGGCAGCTCTGCCTGGTATCTGGTAACAGTCCTGCAGGAATTTTGCTTGAGAGTCTGTATTGTCTTCTTGGAAGCCTTATGTTGTCTCTGCCACATAAAGGAAATAGCAACTGTGATCATTGGCAGTAATGATGTGGGCCTCCAGAGCATGGAGCCTGGAATTATCCTCAATCTGTCATCTTTCTCTCAAAGGGAGAGCAATGGCAGCCACAGCTTGCCCTTGATGTTTCTGGGACTCAAGAAGACAGGAAAGAGCAACATTTATTTCTCAATATCCAGAGGGAAATTACAAAATTTCAGTGGTATGATAGATGCTTAAGTACTTAATGCAAGAAATCCTTCCCTAGTAGAAGCTACCCATAACCAGGGTGGGGATAAATTTCTGCCTGAGGGTTAAGAGTAGAGACACAAGCTCCCCTCTCCAGGTAGGAACCCCCAAATGTGCTCCATCCCCTCCCTGAACCTTTATGAGAGAAAGCGCTGGTTGAGAAAAGCCCTTCCTTCTACCCTGATAGGTGCAATGGCCAACTGTTCCTTGAGAGGGCAGGCTCACCTCATTGTCCTGGTGATTAATCTCGCTGAGATTTGACTGTTGCACCAAGACTGTTAGGAGCCTGTGAAGAAAAATAGGAGAAGAGGCTCAAAAGAACAGAATCTGTATGAGAACATAACGCTAGAAAGACAGTCCATTGAAGGCCTCCAAATGAAGATGGGCCCTTTCTGTTTATCTAGGAGAAAGAGCCATAGAAAAGAAGACAGTGTGATCTGTGAGGAGGCACCTGGGGGGATTCCTCTCTCTTTTCTCCTCCAACCTCCTCTCTGTCTCAGTGCCTCAGCTGGGGGTGGGGCATAAAGGGCATGGAGAAGGTGAATCTTTTTTTAATTTTTAAAATTTTTTTATTAATATATAATGTATTATTTGTTTCAGGGGTAGGGTCTGTGATTCATCAGTCTTACAGAATTCACAGCGCTCACCATAGCACATACCCTCCCCAATGTATGGATGGGTGATGGATGTTGAGGAGAAGGTGAATCTTTAGGTTCATCTTATTCACCAGACCTGTGTACCTATGCGTGCATTGAAGAACTAAAGTCCTCTAGTACTTATTCTTTATTCTTTTACATAACTGTATACAATGCTTTCAAATTGCTTTACCATCAGTACACGGGTCGTGCCTTTTAAATGTATAGATTATATAAGGAGACAGCATTTACAACTTCGCTTATTTTCTACAAAACATACAAATATCTAAGCATGAAATGACACTAATCAGTGTGAAACAACTATCAGTGATTCTCAAGTTCAAGTTTTTATCTCAGTTGGGTCCCACACTTGGTTGACGGCGGTCAACACCATGAGAGAAGTGGCTGAGTGCAGTGGTTAGGGACCCAGAATCTGGAGCCAGACTGTGCGGGTTCACATCCCAGCCCTGCTACTGACCAGCTTTGTGACCACAGGCAAGTATCTTACCCTCTCTGTACCTAAGCTTCCTCATCTGTAAAATGGAGTTAATGAAAAGTGCCTACTTTATAGCTCAGTGTGAGGATTAAATGAGTTAATGCATACAGTATTTACAGCATGCCTGGAACACAGCAAGTGTTATTTCTAGAACACTTAACCCTGGAAGTGTTTTTTTTCTTTTTAAGATTTTATTTATTTATTTGAGAGAGAGAGTGAGCAAGAGAGAGCATGAGTGGAGGGGAGGGAGAGGGAGAAACAGATTCGCCTGATGAGCAAGGAGCCCAGTGCGGGGCTTGATCCCAGGACCCTGGGATCATGACCTGAGCTAAAGGCAGACGCTTAACCTACTGAACCACCCAGGCGCCCCAACCCTAGAAGTTTTAACCCTGGCTCCATCTCAGAATCTCCAGGGGAAATTTTTTAAAAACCACAAATACCTGGATTCTATATTCAGGGTTTCTGACTCAGTAGGTCTGGATAGAAGCTCAGCTTTCACAGTTTAAAAGGGCTGTTCAGGAAATTCTAGTAAACAGGTCTGAAAACCACTGAGAAAGGTATTGAATAAATTAATCAATGGATACTCATTGCTATGAACTGAATTGTGTCGTCCCCCCGCCAACCTCCAAATTCATATGGCTCTGACCTCCAATGCTTCAGAATGTGACTGTATTTGGAGACTGAGCCTTTAAAGAGTAATTAAGTTACAATGAAGCCATTAGGGTGGGTCCTAATCCAATTTGACTGATGTTCTCAGAAAAAGAGATTAGGGCCCACAGAAACACATCAGGTGCAGGGGCTCCCAGAGGAAAGACCATGTAAAAAGGCAGCAAGCGGGTGATTATCTGCAAGCCAAGGACAGAAGACTCAGAGAAAACCAACCCTTCTGGCACCTCACTCGTGAACTTCCAGCCTCCAGAAATTTGAAAAAATAGATTTTTGTTGCTTAAGCCATCCGGTCTTTGCAGTTCTGTTATGGAGGCCCTACCAATCTAACATACCCAATCAAGATGACAAACGCATGTCTATGGGGAGACAGTGAAGGAAATTAATTTTGGAAGAAGTATTTGAAAAAATGAAATGGTTTAGCCTTTCCCCCAGTCAGATTTTCATTGTTTCTCAGCTTAGGTAACATGTAGTCCTTCCTGAGTGTTAAATTGCTACCTACAATAGAAGAAAAGAAAGTGGGACCGATCATGTTCCATTAGTGGTAAATGTAACACAAAGAGAGCTTAACGAGGGATGCCCTTCTGGTTGTTTGCTGTGGAGGTGAAATAACCAGGAAGCCCAAGGTTTAAATCTAGTCTTATCACTGTCTTTTGGGGAGACAGGATAATGCTGTGCTTTAATTCTGCCCTCACTCCCGCGTGACCTCTCTGAGCTTCTGTATCCTCACGTTTATCATGGTGGTAACAGCATGGGGATAACAGGTGGTAAGGACTGAATACCCTAACAGGCATAAAGCTCTTAGTACACCGACTTGAAAAGAACAGTGGCTCTAAATGCAAGCTTTCTGAATTCTAAAATTCCTCCATCTAGTGGGATGAGGCTATAAAAATAATTGCACTTGGGGATAACGCTGTATTTATCTCGGTAATTATATTTCACTACTGGATATATTTTCCCTTATAGTTGCTTTATAAGGCTGGAAGGCAACTAGTAACTGATTTTCTTCTATCTCTTTACTGGCCATTGTTTAATCTCTAGGGCTCATTTGGTCTGAAGTGTGGGGGGATAGTGGGAGGGAAAGGCAAGAGGTCAGCTGTGGTCCAATCTGGTTATCCTCGGCTAACCCTGAGCAGACTGAGATCATATGTAGCCAGACAGCATCTTCTGGGGCTGCTCCAGAACAGTGATCACACTGAAGGAAGTCGGGCTCTGACCAGATGGGAATGAGGGAGGGGAGAGCAAGACCTCTTGTCACATCCTGGGGATGCCAGGGTCATGGGATGAATCCTGTAGCTGGATATTTCTCTATTTGCTTCTTAAATCTATTTGCTACCCTTCAATGTTCCGCTCTGAGATTGACCTGCAATGTCTTTATCATGCAGGCTCCCTTGCCCCTGACTTCTTTCTGGGTTTGGCCAGGAGAACTGGCAGGAGAGAGGGGGGAAGCCACTTCCTTTTCTGACCATGACTTCTTTTCTTTACCAAAGGCCATGGCTCCTGCCAGGTGGATCCTCTTCTCCAGCCAGGGCTCTCAGCAGGTTCCAATAACAGCTCCCTTCCTTGCCCCTCCGGCCTAGGGGTGGAACATTTTCCTGTTTTGAGGGGTGGGCAGGTGGAAGTGGGGAATTCTGTTACCAACTCTTGTTAGGTAATTTTCAGTAGTCTTCCATGAAGCTTTCTAGAGTTACCCTCTATTATTCCACGACTTTACTCTTATGACCAATTGATACATGCCCATCTATATTGCTTGATTCCGTTTGATTCCTAAGTGTCTCAGATTCATCGATTTTCAAAGATGGACACAAATTTACAGATAAGTATGCTCTCTCTCTCTCTTTTTTTGTGAGAGCAAATGACATGAGCCCCTACCTTGCTTGCAGGGCCATCATGCATTGCCGTGGTGGTGATCCAGACTAGACTAGAAAGCAGGTGTTTGGTTTCCAGCCTGGGGCTTCTGTGCTGTTCCATGGTACAGGGGTCATCTGCCAGATGCTGGTCCCACATCTGTCTTAATTACCAGAGGACTCACAGACCTCTTGGTTTTGTTTTCTCAGAGCTCTCGTTCTGTGCGAAGGTGGTTTAAGAGTATTTCTCCCACAACCCCCAGCCTAGTCTCCTATTAGCACCAGCTCTGTCCTGTTCTCAACTCTCTAGGAAGCAGTGCAAAGCCTACCTTATCCCAGGTAGCAGGACAGCAGGCACAGATGCCCAGCAGGAGCACTCTCAGACAGGTAGCGTGGTGGGTGGTAAGACAACAAATGCTGGGGCCATTAGAATCCCTGCTCCATTACCAGCCAGCCAGTAAACTTAGGCAAGCTAGGAAACTCTCAGTGCCCATATTTTCTTATCTTTGAAATAGAAATAATAATAACACCTACTTCTTTTTTTTAATAAAGATTTTATTTATTTATTTGACAGAGAGAGAGAGCGCGCACAAGTAGGCAGAGTGGCAGGCAGAGGGAGAGAGAGAAGCAGGCTCTCTGCTGAGCACGGAGCTGGACGTGGGGCTCGATCCCAGGACCCCAGGATCATGACCTGAGCCGGAGGCAGCCTATTAACCGTCTGAGCCATCCAGGTGCCCCTAATAACACCTACTTCTTAAAGATCTGTTGTGATTTTAAGTGTGTCAATACATACAAAGCACTTAGGATGACATTTACATGCTGTAATAAGTTCTCTGTAATTTAATAATTTTTTTTTTTTAGAGAGAGAGAGTGTGTGTTTGGTGGGTAGGCAGAGGGAGGGAGAGAGAGAGAATCTCAAGCAGGCTCCATGCCCAGCACAGAGCCCATGTGAGGCTGGATCTCATGATTCTGAGCTCATGACCTGAGCCAAAACCAAGAGTTGGACTTTAACCAACTGAGCCATTCAGGCACCCCTAATTTAATAATTTTTTAAAAAGCTCCACTCTTTATGTTTGGGGATCCCCTTATCTCTATGAGGTGACTGGGAGGCCAGAGAGAGATCAGCTAGATGTGTGCTGGGGTGAGGGTAGCTTGGCTCTGTGGGCTTCTCTGTTTTGCTGGCTCCTTGGGCTCACAGCCCTGAATCTGGCCAGCACAGTGATAACTGGGGAAAAGGGTCCCTAAGCTATCTGTCTGTCTTCCTATTCCTAAAGCTGCCGATGTAAGAGTATCCCATAGTATAACACCCACCCACAGGTTAGAATATATCACCTGGTACCTTGAGAACAGGACCCCAAAGAAATAATTTCCTTCCTCCCTCTGTCATCAAGAGCCATGAAAAGAGGCAGAGCCGCAGGCACTCTGGCAGGGAAAAAAAAAAAGAATCTGCCAGTAACCATGGAGACCATGAAAAAGACTTTCAGAGAGCCCTGTGGCTGCTTTCAGAAGAAATCGCCACTCGCCTTCCAATGCTAGCATGTGCAGCGTTGTACAAACACAACTCCTTTCTCTTTGGAGCTTCATCTTAACGATCATGCCCCCTCTTTCACACTGGTGCCCTCTGAATGTCCAAGCCAAGGAAGCAAGAAAAGCCATGGAAAGCTGAAAGGAAGAAAATGTGGACCTACTGAGAAGTTGAGGGTTCAAAGCAGGAAAGGGAACAGTGAGATAAAACCTGCACGTCTTTGCTTTTATCCACCAACTTGCTTTCGTGTTCATAATTATAAATCCCTTATTCCTGCATCAGCTTAAATCCCCACTGAGCTGCTGCTTAGTTAAGGCTGTGTATTGGACCTGGCTGGTTTGTTCATCAGTTGTTTCCATCACAGATTCTTGCTGGGGGCAAAGGGCTAATTGAGGTGTCCCCTTGGCTTGTTTATAAGCAGCTACAGTCTGAGGCTTCACTCTAAATAACTTCCAGTTGAGCACTGAGTAGAAGGATCATGCTATTTGGAAATCTAAGGGTTAGTAGATTTTAAAATGAGTATGAATACCTGAGTACAAGGACATAATGTGGCCCATACATATGTTTAGGATCAGGGGACAAGTAGAGATGAACGTGCACTAGCAAGGTAAGGAAGGGAGTTTCAGGGGAGCTGAATGGTTGAGTTTGATGTTCATTGGATTCTAAAGTCTAGCAACAGTCTTGCAGGGGCCAAGGGCAGGCCACCCCAAGATGGTCTACTTTGGCATGGACATTACTCTGAGTTAAAAGCAATCAAAACTCAGTAGACTCAGAAAAAGCTCTTTAGCTCCCCTTCAACTGCCTGCCTCTACCGGGAAGTGCGCTATTAACAGAGATTCCCTTTTACCTAAGAAACTTACCTGTCTAATAGCACAATCTTTGTTTTCTAAACATCTCCTCTCACCTTCCTTCTAATGGCCTTCCTCCCCTTTGTATGCTCAGACCCCAACCCCTCTCCTTAGATAAGTCTCATGTTGCTTGACTGTCTCTGGAATTTCCATGTCTGTGTGGATTCCCAGTACATATGCTACAAAATTTTAGTTTTTCCTGTGAATCTGTCTCATGTCAATTTGGTACTTAGTCCAGCTAGAAGAACTCTGAAGGGTAGATGAAACTCCTCCTCCCCAACACACCTGTATGTATGAACATATTTTTTTGTGGACCTGTGTGTGCTAAGGTAAAGAAGACTGGGGTGAGAACTGATGAAGTGGGAATAGCAGGGATTCATTCTTTAGCACTGATCTATGGTATTTCTTTATTTCTATCTACCTTCCATCATGATCATCACTACTATCATCTCATTATCACCAACACTTATTGAACTGATGATTGACAGTGTTCAGTCCTTTTCACATGTTTTCTCATTTACTTCTGCCTATTTACTATGAGATAAATACTGTATTCATATTTTCTAGGAAAGAAAGCTAGCTGGGCCTTGACAAGTTAATATGGTCATTAAGAAGTGGACCAGATTCAAACCCAGTCAATCTGACTCCAGAGCTTGCACGCCTGGCCACCCTTTACCTCAATCCAAAAAGGATTTTAGATGGTTTTCAGATACATATAGTAAAACAAGATTACAAGTGAAGAAACTAGACAAAGAGAAAACAAGGGCAGGGTAAAGACGATGCAATTATGGTCCTACATGTGTTCCAAAGGTGGGACACAAATTGGGCTTTGGGTTTTTTAAACATACAGAGAGAAAAACATAATCATAAGTCACAGTGTCCACATAGTAAAAATAAATAATCTATCAGGAGAAGCACAGCAATTCCTCCTTTAGTAGATATATTTTTTGTGGTTTCTCATTTTTTAGATGCTGTGACAAACAAAGTATTTCCTGACAATGAGACAATAAGGAATTTTGTAAAGCTTCTTAAGGTAGGGCTTAATGACAGAATGTGGCCATTAAAATACATTCTATAGAGTCCACAGCAGTGGATCCTAGGAGCCTAGCAGGTCCCCTGGGCAGGTTACTTATCCTCACACATACACTGGGTAATAAATTTTCTTCTTAGTGCCTCAGCTTCCTTATCTATAAAATGGGGATAGAGATACCTATCACATAAAGGTGTGGCCAAGATTAGATGAGATAATACATGGAAAGCACTCAGAACTTTGCTCTGAACATGGTAAATAATCAGGGCTATTTGTCCTCCTTTTCCTCCTCATTGTAAATGCAGGCGTATATACTTTAGTGGTTAGCCGAACCAGCCTAAAGTTGTATCCACTTAGGAAAATTAAGCAAACAGGTTTGCATGGCCTAATGGAAGGTCACTCCTTCTGCATTGTGTCTGTAGGATTAGGAAGTACCCACAAGCCAGACCAATTTTTTTTTTTTTTCCAGAAAACAATTACAATTTCATGCTGACACACAAACAAATGGAAGAAAGAAGGCCAACTTTTGTGCCAGAGAGCTTGGCTTGGCTGCTTTCTGCTTAAAACACTGAATGCAGATGCTATCAAACCCTGACATGGCCGTAACTTTTCTCATAAAACAATGATAAAATATCTAATTTTAAGCAATGTAATTCCAGAGGGAATTCTTTAAGGCAAGCTAGTTTCTAAATGTTCTCTAGGTAACAAAGCCAGTTGCTTTGCTATATGAGTTGTTGAGGTTTAACCCAATTCATTTTTGGAGAACATTTACCAGAAATGATGGTTTTGGAATAGTTAATCTTAACCTTTGGGTTTTCCTAGTTACCACAGCTAGTATTATCATAACTAAAGCAGGATTTTATCTTCCAGAATGAGTGAAGTGTCCATTTAGGACAATAAAACTGTATCATCAGCACACGGAAGGATGTTGATTTTTCTGGCTTCAACTCTTCCGAAGGTGGTGGTTGGGTCATTAGGTATAATATCAAGAGAAGGGGAAACCACAACTCTGTGTTATCTCAGTTATAGTGATGTAATGTACATCCTAGGAGATTTAGGGCCACTGCTGGGCATAATAAGAAATAGACTAATATGTCCATGAAAGAGGAAGTACAGTTGGATTGGTGTTCAATTTATTACTGCAGTGATTTGAGATGATGAGTCTGACCAAATTGACCTTGAGTGTGATTTTGACTGAAAAGTCTTGGTTCACCCCTCAGGTGCAATGGCATGATGACAGAGAGGGCTTTCACCAAAATTTATGACCTCCTTTCTTGGATTGGAGTCATTGCCAGGAGGTGGATTCTATTCTATATTCCCAAGTGCTCCTTATACCCATGTGTGGTATAGGACCAGTATGGTAAATGACTAGTCCTTATTAAAAGAATGTGAGCAGAAGTGAATTGTATCAAAGGCTGAGATTTTAAAGAAATAAGGGGGGCATCTCCACATTACTCTTTCCCCATTCCCAGGCTGAACAAAGAGAATTCTTTGATCCTAGAGGATGGTAGAGCCACAAGATGGAAGAAACTTAGATCCCTGAGTTACCACGTGGAGGGGAACCACATCCAATCCAGGAATACCTATATTGGACAAAGCTCTTCCTGTGCTAAAACATGAAAGCTTTGGGTTTAATGTGTTACAAAACCTATAATCACCATAAGAAAAGCAGTCATATATCTTCCAGAATCAGGCAGATTTTAAAATGATCACGCGGGTGAGGCAGGTAGAACCAAGTAAAGCCAATCAAGGCAGAATAGTCTTAAAGATATTTTTTAAATATAGTTTTTTAAAGATTATTCTTGGGAAAACAGTGTGATTTTGTGACTAAATATTTTTGTGGGCTGTCCAGAAAAGTCATTCTTTCTTTTTCCCAATTCATCAAAAAGGAGTCATCCCTTTATGATGTCTATTGATTGTTAGTTCTGAGCTTGCTGTTTCTTTTCTAAACTTCCTTGTTTTGTTGGGCTTTGAGTAAATCCTAGTTCTTTATTATTCCTGGATATAATCCAATGATAACAAGAGGCAATGCTTGGTTGGGATTAGTTCTGGAATTTCCCAAACCCTTTTAGTGTAAAACAGAATGAAATGAAGAAATCCTGTTACCTCTCAACCTTGGTCTCATGAACCCCCACAGAGCTTTAGTTTTAGTTCTGGACACAGGGTCTAGAGGCTGAGGCTCCCAGAATGCCCCTCTGTGGTGCTGGCCTGAGCCTAGCTCTGGGGAATGCTAAATTCCTGTCAGAGGCACGTTCTGTGCTGCAGAGGTTAAGGAAGTGCCCAGAATGTTGCTGAAACCACAGTGGGAAATGCTGTTATTAGGTGCTCCAAGGGGTTTTCGAAAGATTGTAGACTGAGGCCTTTTAGACACAGAGGATTGGGGAAGCTATACTTGGTCTGGACAAAACTTTTTCCTTTTTTGCTCAATTGTCTTACAAAAATGTGACCCTCTTGATCATCTAACTTCTTTGAGTATATTTCTTCATACAGCTCCCAGCAGCTCAGAGGCCTGGTTTTCTTTCTAACCCACTCGTTTGTCTCACTCTACTTTGCTGGGTCCCTTGCCTCCTTCCAACCCATAAATGTTGGCATGACCCTGGGGCACCTGGGTGGCTCTATCAGTTAAGTGTCTGACTTGATTTTGGCTCAGTTCATGATCTCAGTGTCCTGGGATGAGCCCCTTGTCAGGCTCCGCACTCGGTGGGGAGTCTCCTTGGGAGTTCTCTCCTTCTCCCTCTGCCCTTCCCCCACTCACTCTCTCTCTCTAAAATAAATAAACAAATCTTAAAAAAGAATGTTGGCATGACTCTGACTTCAGACATGAATCTTTATGCCCAGTCAGTGCTTTTCCACTCCCCTCCCCACTATCTGAAATTATCCTATTTATTTTGAAATTACTCTATTTGTTTACTAGTATGCCACTTAGCTCCTTCACTAGAATGTAAACTCTGTGGGTCAGATACACTGTCGTGCTTACTGGGAACCCCTAGGGCATAGAATAGCACTTGGTCCATGATAAGCACTCAACAGTTATTGAATCAATAACTGCCTGATTGAATGAATATATGAATTCAGATAATGAAAAATAGCATTTCTTAAATCAGAGATTAGGAGGAAAGGGTTTTATTGAAATGGCGGGGGGGGGGGTGAGACTAGAGTTTAAGATTCTTCCAGGATATTTTGATTGACTGAAATGTGGTCCTGTCTGCTACAACTTCAAAAAAAATGGACAGGTTTTGTTTTTATTCACCACTGAGGGTTGATTAAGTTACATTCTAATCTAAGCTAAGTCCCTCCCAGTGTGAGCATTGTGTGAACCTGGCTACTTACCTCACATCGGGCTCAGCAGTGGCAGCGTGCAGTGGCAGACGGCCATTTTTATCTGGAATATTGTGCTTGGCACCATTTCTAAGCAGACTCACACAGCCTTCCAGCCAACCCTGAAATACAAGAGCAACTGTCATTATATAACACAGCCTGGTATAACATAGACCAACAAACTTTCTCCAATTTTCTTTCTCTTTCTTCTTTGGTGTGACTAAAACCATGTTTTATTGATTTGAAGTGGTTAAGGATCACAACTCTTCAATTTAGGCACTTCAACAGAAGGCTGAAGGTCTTGAGGTGTGGATTCCTGAGTTTCCTAGACTCTCTCCCCTGTCTCCCATTTCCCATTTCTTACTTGCTGTTTTCTACTTTTATACTGAGTTCCTAGGGCTAAATGTGGCACATGGTAGCTCTAGCCTCTCATTCTATGAGCTTAGCTCCAAATCATGCTTGTCAATGGTCTGACCCAGGTGCCATGGTCCAATTCCAAAAATTGGGCTCCTATGTCATTCTTGAGTTCCAGTCTCCACTCTGTGCCTCAGTTTATCTATATCTGATAAACAAGCTTTGGTCCACTTTTCCAAGTTCCCTTTCTAGTAACTACGAGGGTAATATTTTGCTTATTCTAGTCTGTCTCCTCCCAATATCTAGAATCCTGACCTGAGCCCTAATCCAATGGCTCAGCCCCTGCCATCTTGTTGAATGATTTTTCTGATGCTGAATATGGGGCTATCACCAGGACCCTCTAAGTGTTCCCTATAGTTGTGTTTCGCTCACTATGAATTCCCCCAAGAAACTTCATGTAAACTCCCTGCTGTCTACTGATCCTCCAGATTGAGAGTGATATTACTGCACCTCATGCTTGTTGCCTTCCTGGTTAGCACTTATAGCTGGGTCATTTCCCAATTATCTCTCATTTCAAAGGGCAGATAAAATGGACAGCTAGTCCTCCCTCCCTTTCTGTTCTATATTACTTTAAGTAACTGACTCAACTCTACTGATAACCAAGTTTGGCTAAGGAGAGTGCCTCCTACATTCATCCAGAGCCACTGGGGTTACTCATTCAATTATAAGTAGACATATAAGTAGATGAAACTATTATTATGAGAATAATATATATAACTCTCTCTCCCACCTTCCTCCATTCCTGTATAGTTAAGCTTCAAGACTACCCAGTCAGATGAGAATGACTGATTTTCCCTCACAATACTGGAAGCAATGAAAATCAAAATGTTACTAAATGAAAGGAGCAGAAAGATAATAAGAAAAGAACCTTTTGGTTCTGGAAATTCTGGAAAAAATCTTTCAGTAAGAGCACATTCATAGGTTCTAATATTGAATATCATTTTGAGTTGACCGATAATATATGTCTTAAGTAGAAGCAAATGTTGTTCAGTCTTGAGTTATAGTTTCCTAATGTATTAAATCTGGTTTTAGTTGCTAATGTCCAAGTCATCAAGATTTCTAATTAAAAGGAAAAAATATGGCTGGGAAACCCAAAAGAAAGGCATGCTGGGCAAATTTTAGAGTTGCCTAAGTTTTATAGTTTTTGAAAACAGATCTTCTGATGGGGGAGGGTTTGAAACATATTTATCATTTTGCAACATTTCCTGGAACTGTGTGTATGTGGTTTTCTCTTTTTCTTCAGAAAAGAAATCAGAAAATCACTGAATATACTTGAAACCAGTGGTCACCATTCAGAACCAATAAGTACATTTTTCACTATGTGCTGGGTGGTTCCACATGTTTCTCTTTCACTTGTGATAAATGTAGGATATTATTTTTTACTACATTTTACAAATGAGGAAGGAGGCACAAAGAGGTAAAGTGATTTGCCTAAGGTTACACATCCATGGTAAGTATATTTGTATATTGAGTTTGGAGCTGTGACGGACACTTAATTTCTAAGTGCCCGCTTTCCCAAGTTTCTCTTTTAATACTTGAATTCAAACATTGCTAGAAGGGAGTGGTGGGCTCCACAGTGCAATCCCCAGGACCACCCCTCACCCTTCCCTGGAAGCCTCATAAGAAACAGGGATGGGTCCTTCCTTTGGTTATCACAAAGAAGGGGGGCATCATTAATAGGGCGATGCCACATGCTTTCATGCAAGCCTATTTCCCTCATGTAGCTCCTTAGAACGCATTCCTAGGAAGAGCTGTCTGCAAAGGGAGCACCTCTCTAGGCTCACTATTCACTGTGATCTACAAGATAACTCTTCCCAATCCTGGAACTTTAGAATTTTGAATGAAGTGCAGTTTGGATTCCGTCTATTCTCTATGCAAGTAGCAGTCAACTTTAGAAACCATCTCTATTCACTTCCTCCACCCCCTGATCCAAATTTTCTCTTCTCCTCAGCTTGGATACAGAAAAAAGAAAAAAAGAAAAAAGAAAAAATCCATTGCAGGAGCAGTTATTGGGGCATGCTTTAGAAGGGAAGGGGCTAGGAGGGCATTCCTATGTCTCTCTGAGATATGAGACTTCACCTAGTACTCATAGACCAGTGGTTTTCAAACTTGAGTGGGTATAAAAATGGCCAGGGAGGTTTCTTTAACATGCAGACACCTCCTCCTCACCCACTACCCATGTCTGCTCACAGTATCTGTCTCAGGAGGTCTAGGGTGTACTCCTGGAAAGTGTATTTGAAACAAGTACTCCAGCACTTCGGGAAAAAAAAAATTCTTTCTAGTTTCATGTCTAAGCCTTAGAGAAAGAGGGCATGCAAATAGAAAAAGAAAAAGTAGTTTCTAAAGAAAATCTCTGCAAGAATTGGGCCATGTCTCATGCAATCTCTGCTAGATCGTGGCAGGAAGGTGTGGTGTTTGGGGAAGGGACATTCCTACTTCAGCAGGACAGTTGCAAGACAGAGTGGGGCTTGCTCAGGGCAAATCCCCTGCTGTCAATGGGCAGCAATAGCAAATCCAAGAATCTGCTTCAGCAGCAACAATAGTTAGAGGAAGATTTCCAGGAACCTCATTGGAGATAAAGGAGAATGATGACCCACCTGTGGCACTAAGAACTTGCTTGACACATACTCAAGGTAGCCCTGTGGTTTCTTAGAAGGATTTGAGGGAGGATTCGAAAAGAGAGGGACTTGAAGGTTTTCAGTAAAGCTTACCAAACGTGCTCTAATGTTGGGAAATGCTAAGCTGAAATCTCTTGATGAGGACTCACTCTATATAACTTTTATACTTAGTATTGATTGTGGGTTGAGTCCTATGCTTGGTATTGCCACTTAATAGCCTGACATGTCTCCCCTACTCCTACCCCCCCCCAATTTTCCCAGTTCCCAATGTTCCCCATATTCTCCAGCTTCCACTCAACTGATCCTACCCCACAATGTTACCTGTAGCTTCAAGGACTACCACCCACTCAGGGTATTAATGGACTGTGTTCTTAGAAGGAGTACCAAGTATGTCCAGAAATGCCCCAAGGCAAATTCTGATGCAGTTAAGATGGAAAGTAAAATTTCTGTGATGGCAATATCGCCTCTATCTTGGAGGATTGTTAGGAAGATCCAAAATGACTCAGATCCACAAAACCAACTCTTCATAGTGCTATAATTGTCAGAGATGATTAGAGCAAAGATTCAAGTTCTGCTTCCACTGGCTAGCTGCATAAATCCAAGAATACTCTTCCACAAGGGGGACCCCATAACAACACGTTTAGCCCTCCCCACTCCCTGACAGCCACCAAAGACAGAGTTGGTACCAAATAGGTTGCCAGGCATAGACTTGTGCGACCATAAGCATCCTGCATGTTAATATTGGCCCCCATCTTCAACAATAGCTTCACTGTGTCCACTTGACGTCCAGAAACTGCATGCATCAAGGGTGTACATCCTGGAAGGAGACATTTCAACAGCCTTTAATAATATTTGACTTGTGAAATTTATGGGCAAAATTTTTTGCCTATATATGCTCGTTGCAGATAAATGAGCTGCCCTCAATACAAACCCAGCTGTTGAGCTACATGGGACTGAAGAGAAATGAAGATGATTGTTGCTACATTTATATAAACTGTGTATTTTTTCTAGCTCTACTAAATCTTCTATAATTTTGCAGTAATTGGTTGATAAAACATTTCGTGCCAATGATAAAAATTCCTCATTACTACCTTGAGAATCAGCACAATTTGGGACTAACAGGCAGGTTTATCCTCACTTGGCTTGAACAATGTAGGATCCGGAAGCGTCTGGAAAGCAACTTGAGCCAGGCAGACAGTTCCAGCACACTTTTATTAGAGGTGGTGGGTGATAAAGGGCAGTGATGGCAGCCTAGCCTTAGCTTGCATACAGTCTTAAGGAAAGGGTCCACCTTTGTTGCAATACTTCTCTGTTTTGGTTATTAATATAAGCCAAGGCATTTGGCTCTTCATGTCTTTTCTTTCTGAACAAAAACAGAGATGAAATTACACATTCTGATTAACTTGTAGGCCTGCTGGAACAAGCTAGCCTGGTGAAGCAGAATCCAGGTGCTTCACACTCCTTCAGGTGAAGAAACCAAACCTCAGACACAGTCCCTTGCCAACGTGAGACTTGTTTACAAGTGTTTTCATAGGCGATTCACACCTTCTTCCTGTGAACCTGCAAGCTGTGACCCTAGGAGATCCCTGAGAATGGACAAATGGCGGGACTGCTGTTCTCACCGAAAGATTGCGCGGGCAACCCAGTTGCTCTGCAAATCTCTCCCTTCCAGTGCTCTTTGGGTAAAAGCAGCAGTGAAGCAATATGTCTTCCTTAGTCTCAATAGTTCCTTTTTTATTTCTTCCTCTCTCTCCTCTTTCCCTTCTTCCCTCCCTCCCTCTGTCTTCGTTTTTCTGTTTGTGGGTGTTGAATTGCTCTAGCACTGTTTGTTGAAGAGCCTTTCTTCCACTGAATTACATTTGCACCTTTGTCAGAGATCAGTTGAGTATATTTGTGTGAGTCTATTTCTGAATTTTTCATTCTTTTCCATTAATCTATGTGTGTAACCCTCAGCCATTTCCACAGTCTTGATTTCTGTAGCCATACAATAAGTCTTGAAATTTGGCAGACTGATTCCTCCTGCTTTATTCTTTTTTTTTAACATTTTTATTTTAATTCCAGTTAATATACAGTGTGATATTAGTTTCAGGTGTACAGTATAGTGATTCAACACTTCCATATGTCACCCAGTGCTCATCATGACCAGTGCCCTCCTTAATCCCCATCACCTTTTTAACCCATCCCCCTACCCACCTCCCTTCTGGTAGCCATCAGTGTGTTCTCTATAATTAAAAGCCTATTTCTTGGTTTCTCTCTCTCTCTCTTTTTTTCCCTTTGCTCATTTGTTTTTTCTTAAATTCCACATATGAATGAAATCATATGGTATTTGTCTTTCTCTGACTTATTTCGCTTAGCATTATATTCTCTAGCTCCATCCATGTTGTCGCAAATGGCAAGATTTCATTCTTTTTTATGGCTGAATAATATTCCACTGTGTGTATATACCACATCTTCTCTACCCATTCATGGAAACTTGGGGGCTGCTTCCATAGCTTGGCTACTGTAAATAAGGCTCCTATAAACACAGGGGCATGTATTCCTTTGAGTTAGTGTTTTTGTATTTTTGAGGGTCATAGGGTAGTTCTATTTTTTAACTTTTTGGGGGGACCTCCATACTTTTTCCCATAGTGGCTGCATCAGTTTGCATTCCCACCAACAGTATGTGAGGGTTCCTTTTTTTCCACATCCTTGCCAACATCCGTTGTATCTTGTGTTGTTGATTTTAGCCATTCTGATGGGTGTGGGGTGACACTTCATTGTAGTTTTGATTTGCATTTCCCTGATGATAAGTGATGATGAACATCTTTTCAATCGTCAGTTGGCCATGTGTATGTTTTCTTTGGATAAATGTCTGTTCATGTCTTCTGCTCATTTTTAAATTGGATCATTTGTTTTTTGGGTGTTGAGTTTTATAAGTTCTTTCTATATTTTGCACACTAACCCTTTATCAGACATGTCATTTGCAAATATCTTCTCCCATTCCATAGGTTGCGTTTCAGTTTTGTTGATTGTTTCCTTCACTGTGCAGAAGCTTTTTATTTTGATGTAGTACTAATAGTTTATTTTTGCTTTTGTTTCCCTTGCCTCAGGAGATATATCTAGAAAAAAGTTGCTGCAGCCAATGTCAAAGAGGTTCTCTTCTACAATTTTTATGGCTTCAAGTCTCACACTTAGGTTTTTAATCCATTTTGAATTTATTTTTGTGTATGGTGTGAGAAAGTGGCCCAGTTTCTTTCTTTTATGTGTTGCTATCCAGTTTTCCCTATACCATTTGTTGAAGAGATTATCCCTTTCCCATTGGATATTCTTTCCTGCTTTGTTGAAGATTGACCATATAGTTGTGGGTTTATTTCTGGGTTTTCTATCCTGTTCTATTGAGCTATATGTCTACTTTTGTGCAAGTACCATACTGTTTTGACCACTATAGCTCTGTAATATAACTGGAAGTCCAGAATTATGATGCCTCCAGCTTTGTTTTTCTTTTTCAAAATTGCTTTGGCTATTTAGGGTCTTTTGTGGTTCCATACAAATTTTAGAATTGTTTGTTCTAGTTCTGTAAAAAATGCTGTTGGTATTTTGATAGGGATTGCATTAAATGTGTAGGTTGCTTTGAGTAGCATGGACATTTTAACAATATTTGTTCTTTCAATCCATGAGCATGGAATGGCTTTCCATTTCTTTGTGTCACTTCAATTTCTTTCATCAGTGTTTTATAGTTTTCAGAGTACAGGTCTTTCACCTCTTTGGTTAGTTTATTCCTAAGTATCTCATGGTTTTTGGTGCAATTGCAAATAGGATTGCTACCTTAATTTCTCTTTCTGGTGCTTTATTATTGGTGTAGAGAAATACACCAGATTTCTGTCCATTGATTTTATACCCTGCAACTTCACTGAATTCATATATCAGTTCTAACAGTTTTTTGGTGTAGTCTTTTCAGTTTTCTATATATAATATGATGTCATCTGCACATAGTGAATGTTTTACTACTTCCTTACTGATTTAGTCCCTTTTCTCATATGATTGCTGTAGCTGGGACTTCCAGTACTATGTTCAATGGAAGTGGTGAGAATGGACATCCTTGTCTTATTCCTGACATAGAGGAAAAGCTCTCAGTTTTTCCCCAGTGAGGATGATATTAGCTGTGGATTTTTCATTGATGGCCTTTATTTTGTTGAGGTATATTCCTTCTAAACCTACTTTGTTGAGGATTTTTATCATGAATGGGTGTCAAATGCTTTTTCTCCATTTATTGAAATGATCATATAGTTCTTATCCTTTTTCTTATTGATGTGATGTATCATGTTGATTGATTTGTGAATATTGAACCACCCTTGCAACCCAGGAATAAGTCCACTTGATTGTGTATGATTTTTTAAAATGTACTGTTGAATTTAGTTTGCTAGTATTTTCTTAAGGATTTTTGCATCTATGTTCATCAGGGATTTTGGCCTGTGGTTCTCTTTTTAGTGGTGTCTTTATCCCATTTTGGTATCAGGGTAATGCTGGCCTCATAGAATGAATTTGGAAGTTTTCCTTCCTTTTCTATTTTTGGAATAGTTTAAGGAGAATATATATTGACTCTTGTTTAAATGTTGGGTAGAATTCACCTGTAAAGCTATCTGGTCCTGGATTTTTGTTTGTTGGGAGTTTCTTGAATACTTATTCAATTTCTTTTCTGGCTATTGGTTTGTTCAGATTTTCTGTTTATTCCTGTTTCAGTTTTTGCAGTTTATACATTTCTAGGAATTTAGCCATTTCTTCCAGGTTGTCCAATTTGTTGGCATATAGTTTTTCATAATATTCTTTTATAATTGTTTGTATTTCTGTGGTGTTGGTTATTATTTCTCCTCTCTCATTTGTGATTTTATTTATTTGAGTCTTTTTTCTTTTTTATTTCTTGATAAGTCTGGCTAGAAGTTTATCAATTTTATTGAGTTTTTTTTCAAAGAACCAGCTCCTGGTTTCATTGATCTGTTCTGTTGGGTTTTTTTAGTTTCTCTATCATTTATTTCTGCCCCAATATTTATTATTTTCTTCCTTCTACTGGCTTTAGGTTTTGTTTGTTATTCTTTTTCTAGCTCCTTTAGGTGTAGGGTTAGGTTGTTTATTTGAGATTTTTCTTGCTTCCTGAGGTAGGCCTGCATTGCTATAGGCTTCCCTCTTAGAACCACTTTTGATGAATCCCAAAGGTTTTGGACCATTGTATATTCTTTTTTTTTTTTAAGATTGTATTTATTTGACAGAGAGAGAGTGAGAGAGAGAGTGAGCACGAGTCATGTGAAGGGCAGAGGGAGAAGCAGACTCCCCACCAAGCGGGGAGCCTGATATGGGGCTCAATCCTGGGACTCCAGGATCATGACCTGAGCTGAAGGCAGATGCTTAACTGACTGAGCCACCCAGGCACCCCTGTGTATTCATTTTTATTTGTTTCCATGTACTTTTTAATTTCTCCACTGATTTCCTGGTTGACCCATTCATTGTTTAATAGCATATTACTTAAACTCCATGTATTTGTGGTCTTTCCAGATTTGTTCTTCTAGTTTCATGGCATTGTGGTCAGAAAATATGCATGGTATGGAGAATGTTTATGTGCACTTGAAAAGAATGGGTATTCTGTTGTAGGATGGAATGTTCTAAATATATCTGTTAAATCCTTCTGGTCCAGTGTGTCATTCAAAGCCATTATTTCCTTGTTGATTTTTCTGGTTAGATGATCTAACCACTGATGTAAGTAGGGTGTAAAAGTCCCTTACTCTTATTTTATTATTATTGATTAGTTCCTTTCTGTTTGTTATTAATGGGTGCTCTTATGTTGGG